GGCAGCAGAGGGGAAGCTGGTTTCTCCTGATTTCTCTCTATCTCCTGCAGAAATGCTGTAACTGCACTCCGGGGGCTATGTGAATGCCGGATGCTTGGAAAGTTCCTCTCCCATCTGCCTTCAATCCTTTCTGCTGCAAAGATCTGTGGTCCTCCGAGGGGCTCTCCAGGAGTCAAGCCCCTGCCTGATATGTGAAACTCATTCTCCACCTCCCTCAGGGCTCCCTTCTCTGGCTCAGGATGAGAGGGAGAGGGTGGGTGAGGGCCTTGGGAAAGTAGCCAGGCTAAAAATAGGGGCTCCCAACTGCACCCCTCAGCCCCTTATTTATCACCTTCCAAACCTCACTCTCCAAGAAGCATAAATACGTATCCCTAATTCCTGAAGGCCAGCCCTGCTCTCATAAATTTGACTGGGGAGATGGGCAAGGGGGAGGAGTGAGTGTATGGGGAATGGGGAGCCTGCGGCAACCTTGGGGAAGTACAAGTCTGCAGGTGCAGGAGGCACCGGACTGTCCCCCTCTGGCCAGCGCCTCCGGGTCTTCACTGAGGGGAGGGATGGCTGTTTCTCTCAATAGTCCCTCTGGGGCTCAGACTTTTCTCACTACCCCTGACCCCGCAAACAAAACCACCTTAGTACTGTCTTCTCTGTCAGTTCTCATCCTCCTCCCTCTCTTCTTTGTGATCGCCTTCTAGTTCTCCTTTCCTGCTCTCTCGCACCTCTCTATTGAGCTTTTCCCTACGTCCATGGTAGGCAAACAGCGGCTCGAGAGCCACAGGCGGCTCTTCCACAGCCTGAGTGAGTCTATTTTGAAGAAGTGGCGTTAGAAGAAGTTTGAGTTTAAAAAACTTGGCTCTCAAAAGAAATTTCAATCGTTGTACTGTTGACATCTGGCTCTGTTGACTAACGAGTTTGCGGACCACTGACCTAAGTCTTTGCTCCTCTCATCCTCACCCTTTCAGAGCCATTGTCTGAAGAGCAGATTTCCCGTCTTATTCCATCTGGATGATGCTGCTTGGGAAGGAGCCTCTCAGCTCCCACATCTCCCCGCTTCAGCCCTTTCTTTTCAATGTCCTTTCTCCTCCTCACCTCACCTCCCTTTTCACTCCCCCAGTCTTTTCTCCTCAGCCTTTTTTTTTTTTTAATTTTTATTTTTTATCATCCCTTTGGCCTCCTCAGTTTCCCCTTAGTTCTTCGGCTCAGTATCCTCTCTCCCTCTTCCATCGTCTCTTCTCCCCCCCCACCCCCACTCCCACCCCTCAGATTCCTCCGCCCATAGGTACCCCCTCCACACCCCCCTCGGCTTCAGTCCCCCCATCTCCCCCTCCCGCTGGGTGAGGAGGAGGGAGGAGGGGCTGAGGCACAGACAGCGGGAGCGCGGTCCTGAGGGGAGGGAGGGCGAGGAGAAAAGGGGGAGAGGGGGCGGAAGCCGCGGCGAGGGGAGGGGCGTCCTCGCTCCCCGGCGGCGCCCCCCTTCCCCGCAGTCACTGAGCCGTAAATCAGGGCCGAGGCAGCTTGGCCAATGGCAGAGTGACTCGTAAATCGGCCTGTCAAGCTCAGCCAATGAGAGGCGGCGCTAAATCAAGTCCTGTCAGCGCTCAGCCAATGAGAGGCCCGGGGCTGACCATAAATCTGCCTGAAAGAGACAGCGGCGGAGAGAGAGCGTGCGGGCGAGCGAGAGCGGCGCGGGCGGGGGCGCGGGCGGCGGCGGAGGGACGGCGGGAGGGGCGCGAGCGGAGCGGGTGCAGGGAAGGCGGGCGGAGCGGGAGGAGGGAGACAAGGAGCTTATGCGTAAAAAGGCGACAACATAGGTACTAAGAGGTGAAGACAGCCTGCAGGACAGACGGACAGATGGAGAGAGACAAAGAGAAGCCTTGAGAGACAGCGTCAGGAAGCCAGGGAGAGGGCTCGGCGGGAGGCAGACAGATGAAGGAGACAGACACTGACTCACACTCAGGAACACACCCCCCCCCATGCACAGACTCCCCCAGACACGCGTGGGCTCCGCATCGTGACTGGACTCAGGCGCACAATGTACACCCAAAAAGAGGAAGCCTGAGAGGGAATCTCTGTTTCTTTTCCCTCGGCTCTAATGAAATTAGGTTGGGGTGGGGGAAGCCCCCCAACCCAATTTCGATGTATGAACTGTGGAAGGTGAGGGAGGAAGGGGGTGCTTTCTCGCTAAGATCTGTCCTCTCAGTCTCAGGCTCCAGGGTGCCTTTCTGTGTCCCTTTGAGTCATTTTTCCCCCCAGCGACTGATAATTGGGAAGTCCCTCCTGAGGTCTAACCTCAATCCCTATTGCTGTTCATTTCTACTCACTAACACTTTTAAATTGCTTTCATGGAATGTGAAAACGGGACACTTTACAAACCTTCAGAGAACTGTCAACTTTCAGAATCTTAGAAGATTCTGAATCTATAATACTTTTAGAGGCTAATTGGTCACTTGATTTTACTTTTATTGTTTTGTTTTTAAAATATATTTTAATTGATTTCAAAGAGGAAGGGAGAGGAAAAGAGAGATAGAAACATCAGTGACGAAAGAGAATCATTGATTGGCTGCCTCCTGCTCACCCTACACTGGGGAATTGAGCCAGAATCCCAGACATGTGCCCTGACTAGGAATCAAACCAGGGACCCTTCAGTCCATAGGCTGACATTCTATCCACTGAGCCAAACCAGCCAGGGCTTATTGTTTTTTAATCCTCACGTGAGGATATTTTCCCATTGATTTTAAGAGAGTGGAGGGAGGGAGACAGAAAGAGAGAAACATTGATGTGAGAGAGACACATTGATTGATTGCCTCCTCCACACACCCAATCAGGGCTGAGCATGAGCCTGCAACTGAAGTGCATGCCCTTGACCTGCACGGACAGAACCTGGGACCCTTCAGTCGGAGGTCTGACGTTCTATCCATTGAGCCCAACTGGCTGGGGTGAGCCTAGTTTTAGAAAGGCTGCTGTTAGACACCTGGGCTGGTACTGACTGAGGTCAGACTCTCTGCCCTCAAATCATGGTCATACCACTTAATAGCCTTTTGGCTTTGGACAAATTGCTTAACCTAGATTGTGTTGCTTTTTATTTTTCATTTGAAAAACAAGATATTATAATAGGTGCCTTATGGTAAGTTTTGTGGGGATTATACAAAATATATTTACAGGATTTAGGACATTACTGGGGCACATAAAAGAGGGCACTCCTCCCTCATGTTTGTACAGATAATAAAGCCTGAGGCCCAGAATGGTCAAGGGGCCTGCCCAGATTCACAGAGCTAATTATCAGAGACCCTGGACTGAGCCTGGTCTCTCCACTCCTGGGCACGTGCTATTTTTGGTCCTTGTTCACTCGGCCTGCCTGGGCCCCTGCCTCAGTAGCTTGAACGCCTGAACTTGATTCCGCTTAGGCTGCTGTGGTTTTTGTGGAAGAGGACACTTCAGAAGCACATGTTCCAGATAGGAGGCAGGATTCTTGGCCCCTTGGAATGTGTTCAATGTGAGCGTATAGATCTGTCCACCCCACTATCTGAGTCTCTCTGGACTTGACTTTGTTCTCTCAGTCTTGGGGGCGGGGAGGGGACAGTATGCAGCCAGAGCAGTGTTGCTGTGAACATGATTCACCTTCCACCCCGAATGCCCACCCTGATCCAAGTACTGTGCACAGTAATCATCTCATGAATAATACATGTATAATTAATTCCTTACTTTTCTCCCTACGTTGGAGGAAGAGCGAGGGGTGCAGATACCAGGGTCCCCACCCCTGCTGGCGGAGAGGGGAGCGGGTACCTCTGGCCGCCCAGTCCCTCTGATGCCGCCTGTCCTCCACAGGGAAGCCAGAGAGAAAACGCAGAGAACCAGCGTCACCTGGTGGTCACAGGTGCTTTAGGTTGGAGAGTGTGCCTGCAGTCGGTGACAGGATGCTGGGCCGTCTGGAGGAAGGGCATGGTATGATTTCCCCTCAGCCTGGCCCCTGAGCCCTCTTAACGAGGGTCTCTGTTCTGCTTTCATAACCCAGGCAAACAAGAGAAAGTCTGGGGAAGTGAGAGGTCAGGTGAGTTAGCGCCAACCAGTGTGACCCTGCTAGGGCAACTAGAACTATCATTGCTTCTGCTGAGCTCAGTTTCATTTCCACCGCGTGAGAGTCCTCTCCGTGATCATTTTTGTTGGATAAATGAAGAGTCAGGGGGCTAGCTTCACTTGAAGTGGTTATCAAAGCTGAATTAAAAAAATTTTTTTTTGAACTGCAAAACATCTGTTTGCAGGGATGAGGGGGATCCTGGCAGCAATAGTTAGGGGTAGGAGCCATTTCTGAGAAGTTAAAGAAAGGCAGGCTGCCGAAACCGGTTTGGCTCAGTAGATAGAGCGTCGGTCTGCGGACTGAAAGGTCCCAGGTTTGATTTCGGTGAAGGGCTTGTACATTGGTTGCAGGCACATCCTCCGTGGGGGGTGTGCAGGAGGCGGCTGGTCGATGTTTCTTTCTCATCGATGTTTCTGACTCTCTATCCTTCTCCCTTCCTCTCTGGGAGAAAGAAAAAAAAAAAGGGCAGGCTAATCCTCTGAAACCAAACTCACATGCTTGTTTTTTTTTTTGTTTTGTTTTTGTTTTTGTTTTTGTTTTGTTTTGTTTTGTTTTTTTACCTGAAAACTCCTCAGCTGAAGACATAGCCATGTCTTAGGCCCACTGCTTCCTGCTCCTGCTCTGACCTGGGTCCCCCCAAACCCTCCCCTATTAAATTCCAGCTGCAAACCAACACTGGCCTATTTCCTTCTCCCCCAAAGACCACATCTGAGCATTAAAAGGATGGAACTCATTTATTAATAATGAAGAATGTACCTTGGGCAGCCTGGGGCTGAAACACTGAGCAAAGGATGGAGAGGTCCGGTTTGGGGGTCAAGGGGAGGTTGCCCGTGAAAATGCGCACAGGTTTTCCTTTCATCTGCTCCATGCCAGCTGGCCGCTCTAGTCCTGGATGAAACAGCCTCAGATTCCGGTGCCGAGCCCAGTTCTAACGGAGCTTACGGAAACTCTGGAGCCGACGGAAACTCTGGGGGCCTCGTCGTAGCACGGAGGCGTACGCTTGGCGGAACTGGCGGTTCATGGCTGCGTAGAGCACGGGGTTGATGCACGCGTTGAGCCAGGTGAAGTTGGCGGCAAGCATGTGGAGAACCCGGGGAGCCCGGACCTTGGCATCCAGGATGTTGAGCAGCAAGAAAGGGATGTAGCACAGGGTAAAGCAGATGAACACAGCAAAGCACATCCGAGTCACCTTCCCAGACTCTGATGGAGAGTCCTGAGCTTTTTGGGCTCCTTTCGCCGGCCTGGTCTTGGCAGGTGCCTCCTCCGGAGGGCTTTTCTCTACCGTCTGCTGAGCTGCCTTGCCGCTGCTCTGGTCCCCCACTTCTGACGAGTCTCCTTCCAAGGTCTGGGTGGTGGCGGCACTGGCTGGCTCAGATGAGATCCCGTCGCTGGGCCTTCCTGAGGCCACCCCGCTGTCCAGCTCCTGGAAGCGACCCGGCACGGCTTCCTCCGCGCCAGCCACGTGGTGGGAGCGGACGCTGGCCTGGTGCAGCTTGTACTGCGCCAGCGTCTGTGCCGCTCGCTTCACCTGGCGGTGGATGAGGCAGTAGAAGATGCCGACGCTGCTGAGCCCAAGCACAAAGTAGATGCCCAAGAGGATGGTGGTGTAGGGTCGGCCTCGGATGCGGTCAAAGCTGCAGGTGCAGACGACGGGCACCAAGATATAGACGTTCCAGAGCGGGGCAAAGCTGGCCACCCCTGCCACCCAGGTGCCCACCAGAGCCAGCGCTATCCCCTTGGTGCTGAACACTTGGGGAAAGAGCTTAGGGCGGGCAATGAGGAGGTAGCGTCCCAGGGCGATGAGGCAGAGGGTGAGGATGGAGACGGAGTTGGATGTGAAGAGGAGGAACCCAAACACCCTGCAGAAAGTGGCGCCAGTCCTCCAGTGCAGGTGGAGGTAGGTGTCCACGGAGAAGGGCTGCAGAAGGGTGCAGTAGAGCAGATCGGCCACTGTGAGGTTGGCGATGAGCAGGTTGAAGTGGGTACGGAGCTTGGGCTGGATGGCCAAGGCCAGCAGGGTGAGCACGTTGCCCACGGTGCCCGTCACCGCCACCACCACCCCCCAGATAACTGCCACGTAGCGATAGCCCACCACTGACTCATGGTAGCAGGAGAAGTTGGCATCAGAGGTGTTCCACATGATGGAGGCTGGAGGGAGTGAGAGGACGAGGAAGAGGGAGTCAGAGCTTGGCTTTGAACTTAGATATCCTGAACTACTCTGGCCTCCTGAGCCATTCCCAGGCCTCTTCGTCTCGAGACTCCCAACCCTCTTAGTCCTTTCCCGTTCTCAATGATTCTCCCAAGTTCTTATCTAAATATCTCAATCTCTGTACACTTCAAACTCCGGGCCGTATTCCATATCTATCCATATACTCTTAGTAACCCCAGTGCCCTCCAACATCTTTCACTCCTCCCCTTTCCTCTAAGGCCACCCAGGAGTCCCCTGTCTGTATCCAGGACACTGCCATAGTCCTCTCTGCTGATCCTTGCTACACACACACATGCTGGCCTCAGTTTTTTTTTTTTTTCTCTTTTCTTTTCCCTGTTTTTACCACCTCTGAGATGCAGAGACAGAGGAAGAAAAGGACACCCACCACAAAATTACTCACCCGAGTCTCCCACCCTTCAATTCTCTCTCCAATGGGAGAAGAAATCACACTCACTCCAAGGACCGTCCTTTCTAGTGGGCAGTCAGGCTTCAAACAGGAGGAGCCCTGCTTTCAAGTCTCTTATACGAGGCTGAAAAATAAGAAACTCCTCACTTACCCAACCTGGGCTACTTCCTTCCTCGTCGCTGGTTCTGCTTGTTCTGTTCTAGCTAGTGAAATCTGGGCTTCTCTGTTGAAATTCCCCTGCTACTAACCCCAAAGCCATATAAATTCTTTCCTTTCTCCTTTCTGATACCCACGCTCCGTTTCCTTCCTCTCTTTGCATAGCAGAGCACCCATAAGGTCATTGCCAAGTACTGCTGAGGTATGGAGACAGAGCACCAGGACATCCGGCCACTTCTCAAGGCGCCATTCCGGGTACCCCAGAGGCCTTGACTTTGTTTTGGGGGAGTACTGCCTTCCCTCTCTCCACAACTTGGTGATGGTTCAAGTCAGAGTCCCATGTGAAAATCCTAGCACATGTAGGCCATTTGAGACAAAGGGAACAGGTGCAGAGAGTCACAAGGGTTAAGTAGAGGTGAACGAAAAGTGTGAGTAAGAAGCAACAGAGAAGATCCTAGAGAGGAGAGCAAGGTTGAGATCAAGAAAGGCCTTGTCGCCAAAACCGGTTTGGCTCAGTCAATAGAGCATTGGCCTGAGGACTGAAGGGTCCCAGGTTCAATTCCTGTCAAGGGCATGTACCTTGGTTGCAGGCACATCCCCAGTAGGGGGTGTGCAAGAGGCAGATGATTCTCTCTCATTGATGTTTCTAGCTCTCTATCCCTCTCTCTTCCTCTCTGTAAAAAATCAATAAAATATATTTTAAAAAAAAGAAAAGAAAGAAAGGCCTTGTGTATTATATTGAGGAGCTGGGTGTTTTGTATGTTTTTTCTGTTGTTTTTTGGTGGTAGTTGTCGTTTTTAACATTTTTCTTGAATTTAGAGAGAAAGGGAGAAGGAGAGAAACATCAATCAACTGTCGTCCACTTACTCCTTATTGAACCTGCAAACCAAGCATGTGCCCTGACTGGGAACCCAACCGGCAACCAATGATGCTCAACCAACTGAGCCGCACCAGTCAGGGCAGCAGCTGGGGTACCATTCAAAGGTGATGCAGAGACTGGCACTAAGATAGCTGCGAGTAAGAAGTGAAAGCAGCCGAGACCGGTTTAGCTCAATGGATAGAGCGTCGGCTTGGGGACTGAAGGGTCCCGGGTTTGATCCTGGTCAAGGGCATGTACCTTAGTTGCAGGCATATCCCCAGTAGGGGGTGTGCAAGAGGCAGCTGATCGATGATCTCATCGATGTTTCTAACTCTCTGTCTCTCTCCCTTCCTCTCTGTAAAAATCAATAAAATATATATTTTTTTAAAAAGTGAAAGCATGCAGGCCAGAAATGAGAGAGAGCAGTAGATGGACTGCAGTTCCGAGAAGAGACAGGCAGGGCCTGAGCTAGGGCCCGAGTCAACTTCATGAGCGTGCACTGGGCCAAGGTAAAGTGCTTGGCTTAATGTTCTGCAGTCACTGTCTTGAGATCTTTTTTGAACATGGGGTTCTGCTTTTTTAATTTTTATTTTTTTTATTTTGCACTGGACCCCACAAATTATGTGGCCAGTCCTAGTTAGGGCAGTGGTTGGGATAGAGAAGAGATCAGGACCTGTAAGTTAAGAAGTCAACAGGACTTATTTAGTGACTTTTTTAGTGACTTAGCAATAAAGGGTTGGAAAGAAGGAAGACTAGGATGAATCCCAGTTTTCCAGGTGGATGGTGGTCCTCTTAATAAGAGGGAATGTGGGGAGCGTGATAGGTTTAGGGTAGGGTTATATCATGAAGTCAGTTTTAGACTAGGTTTGAGGTGGTTGTGGATGATGCTAGTATCCCCGCTCCTCTTACCCCAATTTCTTCCAGCACCCCTATCTCTCCCCACATGTGACCCGGACCCTGCTTTTCTGGATATATAGGGCAAGACTTCTGGATATACAGTCTCTGTCTGTAATTATTATCATTACAAGAGGCCCAGTGCATGAAACTCTGTGCACTGGAGCTGGGGGTAAGGGAGTCTCTCAATGCAGCCTGTGTCCTCTTGCAATCCAAGACTCCTTGGCAGACATCCCTCTTGCAATCCCGGATCCCTCACTTACGCTTGGCTTGCTGCTCCTTAGCTCTTTACCGCGTTCAGATTGTTGCTCCTTAGTGCTGTCTCCTGGGTGGGAAAGACTCCTGCCACACTGCTGTGCTCTCCAGTGGTGAGCTGGGCTTCTGACTGAGCTGTGCTCCCCCTGTGGGAGCGCACTGACCACCAGGGGGCAGCGCCTGCATCGGATGTCTGCCCCATGGTGGTCAGTGCGCATCATCCACAGGTTGTTCTGGTCGTTCCTCCACAATGGTTGCTTAGGCTTTTATTATATAGATTATTTTTAGCTAGAAAGACCTAACACAAACAAGCAAACCCAAAAGTACTTGGGTTCCATTTCTGAACCCACAGTAATCTCCAAGCTGACTTCACAGTTGACAAATCTAGGAAGCTCCTATTCCTTCCTCTTTAAGGAAGGAAAGGGGAATAGATTTCTTTAAGACTAAAAAGGGGGTAAAGAGGGAAATGTGCAAAGATGAAACTCAGGAGGACCCCATGCCATTCTGGGTTCTGGTGTGGCATTTTTTTTTAATTAAAAATTTTTAAAAATTGATTTCAGAAAGGAAAGGAGAGAGAGAGAGAGAGAGAGAGAGAGAGAGAGAGAGAGAAGGAAACATCAATAATTGATGAGAAAGAATCATTGTTCGGCTGCTTCCTGCACATCCCACACTGAGGATCAAGCCCACAACCCAGGCATATGCATATGCCCTTGACTGGAATCGACCCAGGACCCTTCAGTTTATAGGCCAATGCTCTATCCACTGAGCCAAAAACCAGCTAGGGCTAGTCTGGCCCTAAAAAAAAAACAAAAAAAAACAAATTTATTGTTGAAAGTATTATAGATGTCTCCCATTTTTTTCCTATTGACCCCCTCCACTCTGTACCCACCTCTCCCATGGCCTTTTTTTAAATCCTCACCTGAAATGTTCTTACTGATTTCAGAGAAAGAGGAAGGGAGAGGGAGAGACAGAGACAGAGACCAGCTGCCTTCCTTTCGTAGCACCTAGACCAGGGATTGAACCTGAGCCTGGGTATGGGCCCTGACCAGGAATCAAACCCATTTCCTTTCTTTTCTTTCTTTTTTTTTTTTTAAATATATATTTTTTATTGATTTTTTTACAGAGAGGAGGAGAGAGGGATAGAGAGCTAGAAACGTCGATGAGAGAGAAACATCGACCAGCTGCCTCTTGCACACCCCCTACCGGGGATGTGCCCGCAACCAATGTACATGCCCTTGACCGGAATCGAACCTGGGACCTTTCAGTCCGCAGACTGACACTCTACCGCTGAGCCAAACCGGTTTCGGCCCTTTCTTTTCTTTCTTTATTTTTTTCCAAGAAATTATATATATATATATATATATATATATATATATATATATATATATATATATGATTGATTTTTTTCAGAGAGGAAGGGAGAGGGAAAGTTAGAAACATCGATGAGAGAGAAACATCAAGCAGCTGCCTCCTGCACACTCCCCATGGGCATGTGCCCGCAATCAAGGTACATGTCCTTGACCGGAATCAAACCTGGGACCCTTGAGTCCACAGGCTGATGCTCTATCCACTGAGTCAAACCGGCGAGGGCCAAACCCATGCTCTTTCTATGTCCGGGAGGACACGCCAACCAACTGAGCCATGGCTTGTCTGGTCTTTTTTTGTTTCATCTTTTTTTTTTCCTCACCCAGCAGGGAGAGCAGGAGGGGTCACAGAGTCACTAGCTATTCTTGGGAGCGTGTGGTTGAACTGAATTCTGGGGGTTCTGGAAAATAGGACACCTATGGCCCCCAACCCCCGTTATACGAGAGCGGAGTGTGCTCTCCTGTCCCACAGACCAACTAGGAGACCATAGGTATTCATTCTAGCATCTCTGTAAATAGCATGATCCCAGTTTTTTGGTCTTGGATACATGAAGCCTAAGTAAATTTTTGAGAGTCCCAAATCTGCTTATTTTGCAGAAGGGGAAATTGGGGTCCAGAAAGGGGAAGGACTAACCCAAGGAAACTATTTATATGGGGCCAAGCAGAGCATAGAGCTCAGATTCCCATTCCCTGCCCCCATTTCTCATGCCTCGAGTGTCTCTGGCGTGGGTTTCCCACCATGGGCACAAAATCGTGTTTCTTTCCTTTGTCTGAGACTGGGTCTAGATCTGTCTCCCTAGATTCGTGAGACACACTGCAAGAGAGTCTTAGACTAGGGAACTCCTTTTTCATGTGTTTGGCGCCGCCTGGTGGAGTTGCAGAGAATTTGCAACAGCCCTGGCTGCTACCTGAGACCTGGGCTCAGAATGATTCCCCAAGGCCAAGTTTACACTTGAGCTGGCCTGGAGGGAAAAGGGGTGGTGGTGGTGAGTGGGATGGGGAACCCCTGCTCGCTTTGCACAAGCCTCAGATCTTGCCTCCTTCCCTCTCCCATTTCCCTAACCCCGTCCTTCTGATCCCATTCCCTGTGTGCCAGTCTCCGTCATCACAAGATACACATCCTGGTGTTGTTGCTCCCCAAAACAGCGGGCAAAGATTGAGAGCCTGAGTCTGGAGAACAGAGGGCAACGAATCCAGACTTTATTGTCAGGGAGAGGGAGAAGGGAAAGACATGGGTCGGGGAGAGAGTTGCTACATCATCAAGCAGAAAGAGTTGAAGGCCAGTGGGGGGGCCGTCCCCCTCCCGGGTCAGTGTGTGGAAGGGATGACAATACGGAAATCACAGGGGGTTGGGGGAGCTCACGCCCCCGCCCAAGTCGTACTGTGTGGTGCCTGGTGGGAGGGGACAGCTCGTAGGTCTAGGGACTGAGATGGGGGAGGCTACAGACTGCAAATCCTGTGGAAAGGGGGGAGGGGGGCGGGGGCGAGGCTTCTATTGCTTTTTGCTCACAGTTTTGCGGAAGGCGAGGCGGGGGTGGGCTTGGACTGGACACCCCTTGCCCCCCTCAGTACCCCTTGGGCGATGGGTGCTGGTGAGAAGAATGGAACCCGGACTGGGGAGGGAGAGAGGGAAGGGCCTATAGGGGCATCTACTTGGTCCCACCCAAGTGCCAGAGATGCCTCCCGGGGCTGCACCTGCGAGGGGCCCGGCTAGGCCTGGGTTTCAGGAGCGTGGAGCGGGCGGGCACAGTGAGGTTGCAGGCGGTAAAACCAAAGTGCTTATGAGGGGTCCCGCCTCTTCCCCTCCCCCTGCGGAGGACGAGGGTGTTCACGGAAGCGCTTCAATGTTGGGGTAGGGGGGCCGGAGTCCCGGAGTCCGCTTATTGCCAAGAAAAATCCATTTCTGCCCCGCCCCCCGGACCCCGACCATGGCTTGTGAACCCCGTTTTGTGCTAGGTTTGGGGGGAAGGGCTGGATGGACATGGCTTTTGGGAGGGGGGGTGTCTCCAAGGGGGCTCCGGGCGAGACGGCCCCCCCTTTTCTAGGGGAGAGGAAAGGGCAGGGGGCGGGGTTCCCTGAGATCTGGGGTGTTCCCCCCCTTCTGAAGCCCCCCTCCCCCACCACCCCTCCCCTTTCCTGGAACCCCGTACCTCGGGGTGGGGGGGGGAGGAGAGAGATCATTCAGGGAGTGCCAGGAGGAGGCCTGGGTCCCGGCTGGAGGTGGGGGCGTTGAGCGGGAGGGGGTTCAGGGGCTCCGGTCAGTAGGGGGAGAATAGAATGGGTCCATGCGCCGTTCGGATGGGCCCAGGGGCCGGGTGGAGCAAGGGGTGGGTGATGGGCGGTCCCTGGAGGAGAGGCGCTGCGGGAGCTGGGCGCAGGGACAGCGGAGAGCCTGCCGCCGCTGCCATCACCGCAGCCACCGCCAGGGGGCTGGGGAGCAGGCCGCCGGCCAGGGACTTGGGCAGCTCCTTGGAGAAAGTCAGCGTGCTCTGCAGGGGTGGGGGAGGAGGCGGGGAGAGAGAGGGAGAAGTCATTCTTTGGCCCCGTAAACCCCACCTCTCCCCGGGGTGCCCCTTCTTCTCCCGGCACCAGGTCCCCAGTTCCGAATGTTGCAGCCTCCACGGCCTTACCGCCAGCTCCGCGGCGCCCCTCGGCTTCTTGTGGCGGCTCAGGAGCGGGTTGGGCTTCCCGGCCACGCCATCTCGGTGCCGGCGGCTGGAAATGTGCTGCAGGGGTGAGCGGGTAGCGGGCAGTGAGCCCCCAGGAAAGGAGCAACTCCCGGGAGGCAGGGTCCTAAGGCCGGTGTGCCTGGCCCCGCCCCTTCTGCAGCACCAAGAGCCCTCACTCCAATTCCCCATTCTCACTCAAATTCCAGGTCCTTCCTTCCCTCTTGGAGGGCGGGACTCCCCAGAATTCCTGGGAAGGGCCTCGGACCCACCTGTTTCAGTTGGACCTCCGAGTTGACCTTGACGTTGCAGATCTCACAGTGAAAGGTTCGGTCCTGGGCAGGGGCCTCTGGTTCCCCAGGGGTGGTAGGCCCCAGGCGAGGATAAGCTTTGATGGGGCCCAGCCCACTTCGGGCCTCCAGAATTGTCTTGTGCTTAGTACCTGAAACCCACAGGGAGCGGAAAGTAAGGAGGGAAGGGAAAGTTCTCTGGGACCCCTAGGCCTCAAATACCCACATTCCCGATACAATATGGGAAGCATCAAGTGTACGTGGGGGGCTGGGGGGCCCACGTCCCTTGGGATCCTCCTACCCAAGCAAGCAAAGAGTGGCTCAGGGGAGAGTCACAGGGGAAGGGAGTAAGGTGGGGAGGAGGGCTGAGGAAGGAAGGGACTAAGGAACGGGGGGGGGGGGGGGGGGAGAGCATTTGGGAGGGAGGGAGGCTGGGAGATCTTAGGGGGTACAGGGTATTCAAAGCTAGGAGAGTGAGGATGGAGGGAGCAGGATGGGCTGCGGACCAGGGACTGGGTGGGGGCAGGGGAGTCCATACCTTTGTTATGTGCCTCCAGCTGGGACAGGGAGTTCACCGCCACCTTGCACAGAGCACAGTAGAGCAGCCGCTTGGCCTTCTCCTCCTCTTCCTTGCTGCCCCCAGGCAGGGAGGCTGATGAAGCTGAAGCTGGAGGCCCCGCTTCACCTTTGAGTGCCCCCTGACCAGTCTCCGGAACGCTGGGAGGGGACGGGGAGCCAGGCTGTTTCTCTGGGGATCCTGGGGCTGGACCCTGTCCGTTCTCCATGGAAACTGTTGTTGGGGGAGAGACATCGGGGTCACTCCAGGTGGCTTTTGGAGGGGACTCTTTATGAGGAGGAGACCCACCCCATTTCCTGGAGGGCAAGAGCCCAGGAGTCCCCACCCTGTGACGGCATGCATGCTCTCATGCCCTGGGTCAGAGCCAGATGTGGTCCAGCTGCTTCAGGCTGGGTGTGAGACTGTGCGGCCTGGCTCACTCTCCGTAAGCTGGGAATCGTGGGGGGTCTAGCTCCACCGGTGTCCCCTTCAGGGTGAAGCTGGTGGCCAACCCCGCCAGGGGGGAGAGGCACGGAACAAGGACTCACTCCTCAATGGCCTGCCAGCCAGCCTGGCCTTCCTGCCTGGCCAGCCCCCTGCCCAGAGTCCTGCCCGGCACCCACGGAGGCATAGTCCCAAGGACTCTAGGAAGGCATAGAGGTGGGATGAGCAAGGAGAGGCTGGGAGAGACAGACACAGACATAGTAAGAGGGAAACAAACAGCAGAACCGGAGAGGATAGAGACAAGGATGCGGGCTGCTCTATAATTCATGACTCGATTAAAGATGCACAGGCCTAGGCCTCGGCACTGGGTTCTGGCCTCGGTACAGGGGAAACTCTAGCACTCCCATTCTTGCTCCAGTAGCTGATCCAGTTTCCGGGTCATGGGGAGGCTGGCTCCCGAGGAGGCCGGCGAGGGGGGTGGGAAGCTGATGGGAGGGGACCTCCTGACCCCTGCAGGTGTCTGTTTGCTAGTGCACAGGGTGGCATTTCCCTTTATTTCACGTATTCATTTCTGACGTCCTTTATCTCCATCTCGATCCAGACAGCACATCTCGGTCTGGTTGGGACTTAATGGCTTACAAAAGCAGGGCAGGTATCCTGATCTCTTTAGAGAGATTGCCATAGAAATTAAGTGAATAATGGGCATAAAGCACGTAGAACAGCTATTGAAGAGATGTTACCTACCACCACCATCAGCCCCACTTTACGGAGATGTTATCAAATTAACCCAAGATGATTAGGCTAAGAAGCGGCCAGACCACAGTTAAAACTCAGCTCACCTGTCCAACCCTCTCTGTGTATCCGAGGTGTGTGTGTGTGTGTATGTGTACGTGTGCGTGTGCAAGCAAGCGAGCATGCTGAGTGGAGGCCTGGTTCCCAAGCTGGTGGTACAGATGCTTGTTTCTCCTTCTGCTTAGTGGGGCGGGAAGGACAGGCAAGGATAAGGAGGAAATAGGCTGCTGGGTCTCTCTGGACTTGGCCGTGACTGACATCTGATGTGGTAATCCTGGGATGGGAGTGGCTCATATCTTCCAGTCATGATATTCCTTCTTCCCAGTTTCTTGGCTGGGAATATGGTTGAAGATGGCCACTGGCCATGAGGGAGAAAGAATCTCAGAGTCGCCTTCTGTAAACCCGGAAGAGACCTCAAAGGTCTGAATGTTCCACTCCCCCATTTCCTAGGAAAGAAAACTCTGGCCCAACCGAAACCGGTTTGGCTCAGTGGATAAAGCGTCGGCCTGCAGATTGAAAGGTCCCAGGTTCGATTCCGGTCAAGGGTATGTACCTTAGTTGCGGGCACATCCCCAATGGAGGGTGTGCAAGAGGCAGCTGATCAATGATTCTCTCTCATCGATGTTTCTAGCTCTCTATCTCTCTCTCTTCCTCTCTGTAAAAAATCAATAAAAATATATTTTAAGAAAAAGAAAAAGAAAAGAAAACTCTGGCCCAGAGAGGTCAAAAGATCCACACAAGATTTATCCATAAAACTGTCTGGGGGTCCTGGACTTGCAGTCTTTCCCCTGAGGGCAGCCCTCACATGCAGGTCCTCAGACATCCTGACTCTCTCCCCTACCCCTCTTCCCAAGATGAGGGCCTCTCCCTGTTCTGATGGTTCCCTTTTTCTGGAGGAAGTCTGCTAGGTGGCCTCACCCTTGCCCCTCTCTGAGTCACTGGGCAGTGGGGAGGATAGACAGTGGGAACTCTGTTAAGAGGACCTGGGTGGGGGGTAGGGTGACAGAATGGAAATTTTGCATCAATGTACTTGGCTCCAGGACTCACCTTGGGTGGGGGTGGGGGTGAAGTGGGGGCTGAGAAGGAGAGAGATGAAAGCAGAGGTGAGTTCAGGGGAGACAAGATCAGTTGAAGAATGTAGGAGGGTCAGACATACCTGGGCGGGGGGCTACCCCCTCTCCATTTGGGGGGGTGCTGCCTGTGGGAGCCGTGTCTCCAGGTTCCCGGATGCCAGGCTCCCTGCCTCGGGTCTTGGCAGCCTCAATGCCTTTGACTCTCCGGGCGTGGCGATTACCCTTGTAGTGTGCCTCGGCCTGGCTCTGCAGGGATGGAGGAAGAAAATGGAAACTGAGATCACCTTTCATCTGACAGTTCTCCCCACACAGCTCTTTCGGGTCCTGGGGTGGTCTCACCAGGATGCAGGGACACTCCCGCTACACCGGCGAGCTATGAAGGCCTGCTTACTCCTGGGGCTTATTCCAAGGAGGCCTGCTTACTCCTGGGGCTCCGACCAGCTTCTCAAGTTTGAGCTCAGGCTCCACCCACTACCACACCCAGAGCCTGGTAGCTGATTCAAGCTTCCCACCTAGTCCAGAGGTGAGAGGGGAGGATGTCACACCTACAGAATCCTAAACGGGAGGGGCCTGGCAGTCAGGCCAGTTAGCATCCTCTTAGTCCCTGGGCCTGTGTCCCCTGGTCCCAGGATCCAGCTTCTGCTGCTTCTACCCTCAGCCTGGGAGTCCCAGAGGCTCTGGGGCCTGGGCTATTGTCCCCTGGGTCTCATTTTCCCTGGAGCCTCTGCAGACACCCTGGAGGACCCTGGCCCCAAGCCCAGCTCTGGAGACAGAGAAAGCAGCAGAGACAGCTGTCAAAACAGAGCCTCCTGGTTGGGGTAGGATAGCGACGAGGGCAAAATGAAGGGAGGGCTGCCTGCTATTGGCCCCCTTCCCTCTGGTCTTCCACCTCCCACCAATGAGCGGAGCCTGGGTTGGAAGAGGGGAGGCCTGGGGTTGTGGTGGCCTGAAGCTGGGTTGGTCCTGGCTCCCCCCACTTTTATGTGTACCCCCTGCTAAGAGCACACAATCCCGGAGCTACAAGGTCACGCAGACAGGCACAGAGCAGAAATAGAAGGCGTGGATAGGCAGAAAAAAAGACCGCCAGCCTCGGGGCGGGGCAGTGGTGTGCAGAGCCTGGCAGCATGGTGTGTACATGTGTGGGCTGGGTAGACAAACAGAATAATGCTTTATTTTCCCGTACTCAGCAGAATGAGGCTCTGCTGTTTTTCTCCAAAAGCTCTTGGAACCTGCACCTCACAAAGCCCCCTCTCAACCCACACAGAAGTGGGGGAGCCTTGGTGGGAGGAAATCCGGGAGACACCCCGGTTCTGAGTTCTTGGAAAGTCCCATGGGAGGGAGGGAGTGGGGGCCCGGCTTTGTGTGTGACTTGGAGGGAGGAGGGGGAGAAAGGAGGAAGCCAGGAGGTTAAAGGGAAGCGGATGGGCCAGGGAAAGAGTTCAGCAGAGGCCAAGGAGGGCACGGCTCGGCGGGGGGGCCAGTAACCTAACTCAGTTCTGCACCCAAGGACCAGGGGGCCCGAGGCCACACACCCATCCCGACACCGGCGGCCACCTGTGTCCCAAGAAGCTCTGAGCCAGAGATACGGTTCTCTTCAAGGGAGGAGGGCTCAGCCGTAGCAGACTGCTCTACTTTTAGGTTGAAAGATAGTCACCTCTGGGACATCTCAAGCGCCTTCTGTCAGCGCATGCCCTCCTACGGCACCCCATTCCCTGCTCTCTCCCTGAGAGCCCCTTCCCCAGAGCTCCCAGCCCAGGTCCTCTCCCCAACCCCCTGGCTGCTCCTGCTCCACCCACTTCGTGGGCAGGGGGCTGGGCTTCTTACCTGAGAATTGAAGCGGATCTGACAGACATTACAGGAAATGATGGGCCTCTTAGTCTTGAGCAAGGGTCCCCCAAAAGTGTGGGAAAGCACAGCCTTCTGTACGGGGTCCATCTGTGGAGGCAGGCTGGGGTGAGCCAGGAGCCCCAGCACAAGCGCATGTCCATCATCCCCCCCCCCCCGGGGGGCAGGAGCTGGGCTGAACTAAAACCCCCCAGTGCCGCTTCCTTATCCGTCAGGATCCTGGGGCTCTGAGTCTCAGTCCTCTGATTTCCTCCCAGCCCAATCTTCACCGCACTGGGAGGGACCTGAGGGACAGACTGGCCCAGGACTCCCACTGGACAAAACGTGGAAGCAATTTGCCTATAGGTCACACCAGGAGTTAACAGGAGAGCTGGAACTTGAACCTGGACTCCTGTCTTGGTTCCTCATACGCTGAAGATCCAACTCGGTCACCCTGACCTATCTCTCCTGCAGCTCGGCTGATCCACCAGAGGCACACGACAGGAAGTTCCAAAGACCGCAGACCCTAGAGCCTTCGGTGAAGGCCCTTTTTACCTCCCCTCTGGGGTAAGTCTGTCTACCAAGCTAAGCTTCCGGTCCCAGGAGACTGATCCCGGAGTCCCAAGTTACCTTAACATGCTCACCCCCTGCACCTCTTTAAGGCAATGGCTTCTAGAAGGAGTAAACACTCAGGAGAGAGTAGGGGGCTCTAGCAAATAACGGGGAATAAGTGGGGGAGCCCAAGAAGCTGGGGTGGCCTGAGGCAGCCCATCTATCTTCCGAGCTCTCCCCGACGGGGCTTGTGGGGCAGGGCTGCGGGGCTGGGCGGGATTAGAAACAGGCTCTGCCCCCACTCCGGGTCAGCAGATGTCTTTGCAGTCTCCTGCCAACAGTTCACATGAGGAGGGGAGTTTCTCTCTGAGGCTTTCTGCTATCAGGGGAGAAAGCCAGGGGCTTAGAGGCAAAAAGAAAAAAAACAGCCTGCTTCTCTGCACAGTCCTCCTTCCTTCGGGCCCCTGGCAGCCAGAGAAAGGGGAGATGGAATGCAGCTGAGGCTGAGGAGGGTGATCCTCTGGACTGCTCATAAAAAGGGAACCAAATTAGAGCTGAAACCTTATCTTCCAGGTGGAAGGATCAAGTGAAAAACAGTTGCTGTGGACTTGGAAGGTCCCAGCTCCTCCGCTGAGCCCCTCCTTGGGCCTAGGACCTTATGGTGCCAAGTGAGACACTGGAGAGAGGCAGGAGTGTGGAGCAGAGGGAGGAAGATGGTTCAAGTCTGGAAAGCCCACAGTATGGGATATCCAGTATGGGGTATCCTGTCTTCCCTCTGCTCCCTCATAGTCTCCCCGGCTGTGTGGGTAACGTCAGGAAAAGGGCTCTAGCATCCCTGTGAAATGTGCTGCCCGGGTGGTCGGGGTAGAGGCAGGGCCATGACCAGGTTCAGGCCACTGGTCCCACGGACAAGTGTCCCTCTCGTGGCCTGCCTGCCGTTGGCTGGAAGCAGCCTTTCGCAGTGGCTCTGGTTCACCTCCCGAAAGCTCAGGAACAGCCAAATGGGAAGAATGGGTGTGTCTGAGAGTGTGTGTGTCTAGGCAGGCTGTGCTCAATCTGTGCCTGGGTGGAGTGTGAGGGAGGATCATGTGCTGTGTGTATATCATTTATGTATCAACATTTCTGTGTCGGGGGTTCTGCTGACGCCACGAGAGGCCAGGTTGTGTAATCTTCAGCTGGGTGTTTGTGTGAATGTATGATGTGTTTGGCAGAAAGAAAGACAGACCCAACTGGAGACGGACTTTAATCAGGAAAAAAAGGAGACAGATGACTGCTCTCAGCTCCCAGTCTCCAGCCTTCGGTCCTTCCTATCCAGGGACACCCCCTCCCCAACCCTGCCCCGGGGTTCTCAGTCCCTGGGCTTCCGCACACGCTGAGTGGGGAATGGAAGTCAGCCCAAACAGAAACCCAATCTGGTTGGGAAACTTAAGTCGATTAAAATAACAGGGAGAGAGGAGTCAGATGGAGAGGGGAGCGGGGAGGCCCCTGAATCTGTCTATGCCCCACCCCACCGCCCCTGCCCGCTCCCCTGAGGGGCTGAGGACCCAGTGCCCAGAGGAGGACTTGTGGGCTCATGATCCCAGCATCCATCCCTGGAGACTGGTCCCTGCCGTACTTGAATCCTTCTTCCAGGGTCAGAGCCTTTTCTCTTGCACAACCCACCCCTCAGGAATAAGCCCACAAACACCAGCGAGGGGTGGGCGCGGGCAGGGAAGAGGGCATCGACCAGTCCGGTGTGTCCTTGCCACCCTCTCCTCCGGGAACCGAGGAGACTCCAGGCTGGAGATGGGGCTGCTGGGCCCAATCCCTGTGCAGGTGGAATGTGAGCCACCGAAGTGCTGCTTCAGGCCAAGGTCAAGAGGCCTGGTGACCTAGATGAGGGCTCTCAGGGGAGGGCAGGAGGCCAGCGTCTCCCAGAACCCGTTCCACTCCAGAGCCCCTTCCCCGGGATTCTGGCCTAGGCACCGCCTGGGAGGGTCCCCCCGAACGGTCCCCTCCCACCTGCCCTCCACCAGCAGACGTGAAGGGGAATGGCTCCCTGAAGCCAGGGCACAATGAATTAGGAAGGGCAAGGGGGTGGGGAGCGGGAAACCAGATCAGGACACGAGGGCGGTGGTGGTGGGGGTTGTGATTCTATTTCCTTCCATCGCCCTTTATCTGCTGGTAACTGCTGCCCCTTGTCTGACCACCCCACTTCCCCACCCCCCAAAAAATAAAGGTGAAAAGGGAAGGGGGTGGAATCTCAGCGCTGGGAAGACCAGAGGGGCAGGACGGACAGACACAGGAAGGAGAAGGAGCTAGGGGGTGTCTGAAGAGCAGGTGGAAGCAGCGGGGGAGGGATGCTGGGGAGGAGAGGCTGGATGGGGTCAGGCTGGGTAAGAGGGATCTGGATCTGGGCGGCACGGTCATTGTAGGGTAGGTGCAGGACCTGCTGGGATGTCTGAAGGTCTGGGGACTCCAAGGACCTGAACAGCTGAGTCTGCGGTACCCAGTACGGTGGCAGCAGTCTGAGGGCACCAGCTGGGACCCCGAGATGGGTTGGGGCCGCGCCGTGTGTGGGGGATGGGCCGGATCACCCGGGGACCGGGCGGAGGGAGAGGTGGCCAGCCCCGCAGGGGCGGGCGGGCGGGCGGGCGGGGATGGGGTGGGGGCGGGGGGCGCTGCGGCAGCGGCGGGAGCCGGGGAGAGAGGAGGGCACGGGAGGCTTACCCTGCGGGACCCCGGGGGCTGCGGCTCCATGGCCCGGGGTGGCGGACCCGGGCGGGGGCCTCGAGCCGGGCCGGGCTGGGCAGCCCAGGGAAGCGGCTCGCGTTGCCCGGGTGGTTCGGGGCTGTGCGGCCGGGCGGGCCGGGAGGAGGGAGGCGGCGCCGGCGGGACCGGACCGCCCCGGGGGCGGGGCCGGGGCGGGGCGGGAGCTGGGAGAGCGAGAGGCATGCAGAGGGGCTGGGCAGCGGAGGGCAGGGAGCGGCCACGTGCTGACACTGATTCCAGAGCAGGCCTCGTCCTGGTGTGAGGGGCCACTCGGCCTGGCGATGGGGCATTGCCCAGATGACCTTGGCTTCCCTCCACCGGGGACCCTTGCTGGGTCTCGTGTTCCCACCGATCCTATGGAGGATCCTGTTTCTCTAGCTGGGACATTTCTCCTCTTTTTTCATCCTCCCCTGCTTCCCCCTTCCCCCCCTCCCCCCACCTCCCTTCTTGCTGACAGGCTTTCTTCCGAGTTCCCAGACGATCCTGCCTGGCTCCCTCTGCACTCGGGCCCCGTGCCCTTTTGCATGCCACTTTCTGTACTAGGGGATGGGGCACGAGCCCAGGTAGCCAGGCGTCCGGCACTGCTCTCTGAGCGACTCTGAACGGCTGGAGCTGCGGGCATCCGGGGCAGGACCGGCCTCAGGCTGGGACTTCGGTCCTCACCTCTTCCTACCTCCTCCCCTGGCCCGCCACCTGCTGGAGAACCAGGTTCCCTGAGCGTTTATGCTTCGTGCACTTGCTGCCCTCTGGCGGCCCAGCGGGGCAGCACTGGGTGATGGGGGTGGCGGCGGGGGTGGCAGGAGAAAGCAGCGCACTCCCCTGGACACCTCCTCATCCCCTCTGGACAGGTTCTAGGATTCCCTCTCTCACTCCTGGATCTCATCTCCTCCCATTCCACCTAGGACACAGAGATTAGTGAAGCAGAGGACTGGATGGAGAAAGAGAGAGAGAGAGAGAGAGAGAGAGAGAGAGAGAGAGAGAGGCTGTCTTTGAGAGACACGAGGGATGTCCAAGGGCAGAGGGACACATAATACAGTAATGCAGGGAGGAAGGTCTAAGGGATGGAAACTGTCCAATGAGGAGATGGATCTGGAGGTATTAGTCCAGGAAGGGAGAGACTCTGCCACAAATAATGATAATTCCGCCACCACCATCACCACCACCTAACGTTGGTTGAGCCCTTGGAAAGTGCCAGCCTCTGTACTGCGAACTCTTTGCATGGATTATCTAATTTAATCTCCACAACCACTATTCCAAGTGCTATTATTATCTTTATTTTATAGACGAGGGACCTGAGGTTATCATTTGCTCAAGGTCGTAAACTAGGAAGTGGCTGAACTGAGATTTGGATTTAAACCCGGGAGGCCTGACTGCAAAGCCATGTCCTTAGCCGTTGCCCAGCTGCCAAAGGCCTGCGGGCAGCTCTCTGCAGCCTCGTTCCCCTGCAGAAGCCTGCACGACTGAGGTGGCCTACCACGCTCACCCTCCTGGCTTCTCCAGCTCCACAGGGGCCTGGTTCTCTCCACTCCATCCCCTTCAGTGGCTCCTCCATTTCTTTTGGTGGATCCCCTACAGTTCCCACTGCCTGATTCTGCTTATTCCCCAAGGCTGAGGCCTTGGCCTTACTATATCTCTCTCTCTGATCCTCTCTTAAATAAAAAGAATAGCAATAATGTAATCATCATAGCAGCTAATACTAATTGAATGTTTACTTTGTGCTGGGCAATATGATTATATAATAGGATCCTCACAGCCTTGTGAGCTGGTACTGTTACTATCTTACTTTGCAGCTGGTAAAACTGAGGTTCAGAGTGGTTAAGTAATTTGCCTAAGGCCACACAGCCAGTGCTTTTATAACATCAATTCAAATCCTGCCAGTCAGATACAAAATACCCTGCTGCACCCTCCAAGCTCTGCTCCTGGCTTTCTATTGCTATTCCTCGCTCCCCACTAGAGCAATGGAACGATGAGCCCCGGGAAGTCAGAAACTGGATTGTTCACGGGAATCGCTACGTAGCTTTGTGATCTTGGACAAGTCATTTAACATCTCTTGATCATTATTTCCTTTTCTATAAAATGGGAGTGCCTACCCAGTGTGATTCAGCGGTTGAGTGTCAACCTATGAACCAGGAGGTCTCGGTTCGATTCCCAGTTAGGGCACATGCCACGGCTGCAGGCTCGATTCCCAGTGGGGGGTGTGCAGGAGGCAGCTGATCAAGGATTCACTCTCATCATGGGTGTTTCTGTCTCTCTCTTCGTCTCCCTTCCTCTCTGAAATAAATAAAAATATATATAAAAAAATAAAATGGGGGAAATGATTGGTGATGGGGGAAATGATAAGTGAAAATCAGGTATTTGCAGGGGAGAAAGTATTCCCAGCACTTTCTGCTCTAATTACATACAATCGGTTGCACTTTCTCAAGTGCTCATTTCTAGACCTTGTTCATGCTCTCTGCTTCTATCTGAAATGTTCTCCAAGACTCCTGTCAAAATCCTACTACTAATTCTTCAAAGTGCAAATAATAGGTCACCTGCTGCAAGTTTTTCCTCTTCTCCCTTTTTCTCCTGCTTAGCTCACGTTGGTCCCAGAGGGACTGCCACAGCCAGCAAGCTTTTCTCGACACCCTCTGGGGCTAAATGCAAGCTAAATGCCTCTGGCACAGCTCTCCTCGCACTATAGGGTAACTGCTAGCTTGTTATCTTTCCTACTAAACTGTGAATCCCACAAGGGCGTGGACTGGGTCTTGTGTCCTCGACACCAGTGGGTGCTCAAAATAAACTTATTTTTTTGTAGACTTGGATTGTTAGTGTCTGTGTCACAATATTTCTTAACTCTTCCTCTGGTTTGCATTGCAGATTGCTGCCTTCATGTCTGTGTATCGCCCCTGAAGATAAGCTCTTTCGAGATTGGATCGTATCATTTCATCCTCATGTCTCCATCATATCTAGAACATACCTTGCTTATAGTAATTACTCCTCCGTTTTCTCATCTGTAAAATGAAAATAAAATCACAGCTACTCCTTAGGATTGCTATCCAGATTGAGATATGAGAAATATTTTGGAAACTTCAAAGTGCAATACAAATGTTGGTTTAGATTCTTCGGGAGAAGTTTGGAAAAGTAGCTGGTATGAAGAGAACTCTATTTAGAGTCAGGCTATGGGTTCAAATCATACTTACACGCATACTGTGTCAATTTAGATAAATTACAAAACCCTTCTGAGCCATAGTTTCTGTTTTTCATATGTCTAACAGGAATAATAATGTCTACTTTGTTAGGTTGTAGAGAAGATTAAATGAGAGCATGTACAGAAACACCTACCACAGTGCCTGGTGCATAGTTGGTGCTCAATAGATGTTTATAGCTGATTATGGTTTGATGGTGGGTTATCTGAATTGAATAAAGCTGACTTCCCCTAAACTTTTAGCTCTAGCCCAGTCTCCAGGCCCCAAATGCTAAATGTTCGAATTTTTGGCTCCATGTCCTAAAGGGGGTTCAGCAGCCCCATGCGGGATCAGCTTCCTCCTTCAACCCCCTGCCCCTGTCCAGGTGAGTTCCCCCTGCCAATCATAGCGCCCCGAAACCCCGGAGTCATCAATGACTCATCCTCTCTCTTCTCCCCAGCCCCCAAACACCAGTTGGTCACCATGGTCTGTCAATATTTCCTTGGAAATACCTTGCTCATGTCCCTCCCTCTCTCCTCACGCCCCGCTGTCACTAACACCCGCTAGTCTGGCGCTCCAGGCTTCCCTGTGGGCCCATACTGCTGGGGCCGCCTCCTCATTGGCCGCCTCCTCTAGTCTTGCCCCTCCCATCCAGCTGTCCCACTCACCTTCCTAAACACTGTTCTTTTTTTAAAAATATATTTTATTGATTTTTTACAGAGAGGAAGGGAGAGAGATAGAGAGCTAGAAACGTCGATGAGAGAGAAACATCGACCAGCTGCCTCTTGCACACTCCTTACTGGGGATGTGCCTGCAACCAATGTACATGCCCCTGACCAGAATCAAACCCGGGACCTTTCAGTCCGCAGACGGATGCTCTGCCACTAAGCCAAACTGGTTTTGGCCTAAACACTGTTCTTTATTGACCTAATTTGAGAGAGAGAGAGAGAGAGAGAGAGAGAGAGAGAGAGATTCATTGTTTCACTTACTTATGCATTCATTAATTGATGCTTATATGTGCTCTGACTGGGCTTCAAACCCACAATCTTGGTGTATGAGGGCGCCTGGGGCCTTAATCATTGCTCTTTTTAAAAAAATATATATTTTATTGATTTTTTACAGAGAGGAAGGGAGAGAGATAGTTAGAAACATCGATGAGAGAGAAACAACAACCAGCTGCCTCCTGCACACCCCCCAATGGGGATGTGCCCACAACCAAGGTACATGCCCTTGAATGGAATTGAACCCGCAACCCTTCAGTCCACAGGATGACGCTCTATCCACTGAGCCAAACCAGTTTCGGCCTTAATCATTGCTCTTACCAAGTCACTCTCCTGCTCAAGACTGGATAACGGCTGTTTCATATGGTATTAAATCTAGACAGCTTGGCCAGCCCTCCAAGGCCTACCCCTCTGACCACATCCACCCAATTGTGGGCTCCAGAGAGATGGAACTCACAAACAGGCATGCTTATGTCCCTGCTTATTTCCTCTTTCTGGATATTTCTGTCTTTAAGGATAGCCTATCACCCCTCCCACCTCCTTGTAATCACTTCCACCAGTCTAAGTATTGATACTTCTCTAGATGGTAGACTAGATGAGATGAGTCATATCAAACACCCAGCACAATGTCTAGCCCATAGCAAGACCCCGGCAAATATTAGCTACTAGTAAAACTAATATACCAGATAGCCAACAATATTTGTAATAGACTGGAAGTAAGGGAGATAGGACCCTAATCTTCACCCAAGGATATTTTTTTCCATTGATTTTTAGAGAGTGGAAGAGAGAGGGAAAGACAGGGAGAGAAACATTGATATGAGAGAAACACATCCATTGGTTGCCCAGCCCTGGGAGGAGCCTGCAACCAATATGTCCTTGACCAGAATTAAACCCGGAATTAAACCGGGACCCTTCGGTCCACAGGCCAACACTCTATCCACTGAGCTAAACCGGCTAGGACCAGGAAGATGGGATTCTAAGAAGTTAAGGAATTGGATACAAGGGGAAGAAGAGAGATACAAGGGCGGGTGGAGGGAGGGCTGAGGTCACGGGAGCGGTGGGAGGCGGGCTGCTGCTACTCACGGTGCTGTAGTTGCCATAGAGGCCCAGGGTGGGGGCCGGCTCCAGGGGGAATGGCAGGATTTGCTTGAGGTCCAGCGGGGGCTGCATGATGGGGGTCTGCCGAAGCAGAGGGAGGGGCCCCGCCCGGCTCAGGCTGCCTGCAGGGCAGAGAAAACATCGCATGAGGCAGGAAGACTGAAGCCTGTCAGTCCCACTCCCGGCCGGGGCCCCCACACTCAGAAGTGCGACGCCCATGCACACACACACTTCCCCTGCTCGCTGGCTCCAGGGCAATGGAGCAGGTCCCCGTGGGTCTGGGGGAGGGTGCAGACCAGTCCTTCCCTTCTGGGTGGTTTTCACTTCCCCTTTCTCTAGCCTCCCTCCTCCAAGACCATTCGGTGCTAAGACAGACCAGGGAGAGCACAGGCCTGGGCAGACTGCCTGCTGGGCCAGCAGGACTTGGGAACCCCGAGCCCCTGGCCACTCCCTTCTTCTGGTTTCGCTTTTCCCCAGGGAATCCCAAAAGCGAGTTTCACCTCGGGGAGAACGGTCCCGTGGGTGATTCATCCCACTGCCCAGAGGGGAATACTGAGGCCTAGAGGGCTATGGGATCTTTCAGACGACCCAAACAGTTGTGATTTTGCCCCAATCATAATTCTTAATGAACTGTCCACACCCCCGGGGGGAATAGGTGCATGGCATTGGCTCTGGGTGGTGGGTTCCCTAGGGTCCCTCGGGGAGGGGGGGCCCTCTCCCAGCCTTCCTGTCCTCCTGCGGCCCCCTGTCTGTCTAACCTGGAGGGTTCCGCTCCCGCCCTGCAGGAGGAACTACTGACCAGGCCTCCGGGAGGGGAATGCCTTGGTCTAACCCAAATGGGAAATGAAAGTCCGGGCCAGCCACTCCACGGGGCCCAGCCCCCACTCAGACCTTCTCCTCCCGCCAGGCTCCAAAGTGGGGGCCCCACAGGCCCTCAGGACCCCGCTGGGCTCCCGCTGGCCCAGTCCCCTTCCTCGGCCTCCCGGTCCACCAGCTGGGAAACTCCGGCTGCTCTTCAGCGGGGCAGCCAGCCCCTGTCGGCAGCAGGGGTTCCCAGCAGCACAGGCGCACCCTTAGGCTGCGAGCTTGGCCCTGTCCTCCCTTGACCTGCAGGGCACAGGGTCCCTCGGATCCTCTCTGGCTCCCTCCACGGAGACGGCCCCTTTCCTACCTTCAGCTTCTGGTGCCCGCTGCCCCCAGGCATGGCCTGCCCCTGGCCCCCCAGGGGCCCGGGCCTGACAGCGTCCCCTTCACTTGGTTCTGCCCCCTGCCCTCTCCCTTGCCAGCACACCCCCAGTCCAGTCAGTAGAACCAGCCAATCAGAGTCCTGCAAAAGTGGGGCAGAGGGGAGGGCGGGGGAGCAGGGATTAGGGGAATCAGGAGGAAGAGAGGGAGGGGGTGGGGAGGGCTCAGGCACAGCTGGGGGCAGGGAGCTGGTCCAGAAAGGGCTGGAGGGGTCTGTCTCTTCCACCCACAGCGAGGGCCGGGGAGCCATGGTGCCTGAGGCAGAGAGGGGTCCAGGCTGCGGGAAGCTTGGGCTCCAGGGTCTGAAGGTTGAAGGGAACAGCAGGATGCTGGGCTTTGGCCCTCGGGCATTCAGGGGTCTGTATACCCCGAGTCCATTTCCTCTTTTTCTGTGCACCTTGTGTCCATCCCTATGCATTTGGGATGGGGTAGGAGGAGAGGAGGGAGGGAGAGAGGCAGACAGGCATGTGTGAGTAAGAGGGAATGGAAAAGACACAGAAGCAGGAACAAGTGACTGAGAAATGGAACATAGACACAGAGAGAAAAGGACCGAGAGCCACGGAGAGATGGAAGAGAGTGAAATGAGGGAGAAAAACCAGGGACACTGCTGGAAAGCTGGACACAGAGCTAGAGACCAGGAGAGAGAGAGACCAAAGGACAGAAGACAGGGACAGACGGACTGATGGGGGGTAATCCAACCATCTCCCCTTCCCAGTCTGCCCCTCATAGCTTCTCTTCTCTATACCCCACCCTCCTGCCTGGCACACGGGGCCGGGGCAGCCTTAACGAGCCCCGGGTGGCACCAGGAATGGTGAGAGAAACCTGAGCACCCCCAGAGGCCCAGCACCAGCAGCCACCTTAGCAGCTGGGCTGGGGCTGGCGCTTGCCCGCCCCGGCGCACCAGAGGCAGCAGCTCAGCTCCTTGACCCTTTCTCCGGTTGGGTATTATCACATTGAGTCTCCGAGGGAATGACAGTTCTGTGGAGGCGGTTGATCCCAGCTTTCCCACTTTTCATAGGAGGAAACGGAGGATCAGAGAAGTCGAAAACTCGACTGGTGTCACACAGCGTGTAAGTATCAGAGCCGGGATTTACGTCGAGATCTGTCGTGCTCTGTAAATTCTCTGCTACATAACCCCAAAGGGCTTCGGTCTAACTCTGAAGCAGAGATCTGAGCGCTGCCTTCCATCTTGTGTGAGGAGAGGAGAGGTTTCCTGCACTTGCTGGGATTGGAAGAAAACCGGTTGCAGCCACCCAGTTTCCGACAGCCAGCAACTCATGGTTCCCACTGACAGGAGCCGGGGGGGGGGGGGGGGGGGGGGCAGGGAGTGGAGAAGGACGGGGAAGGGGGAGGAAGGGGTGGAATGAGGATGGAGTGAGGAGAGGACACGAGGTGGGCAGATGGCAGCTGATAGGACGAACAGCAGAAGCAGGGCCCTGGGCTTCAGGTGGTCCAGGACTCAGTTCCTCCCCCATCCCCCTGGGGAGCGTACGGAGGGATAGCTGCTGCTTTTGGAGGGACGGCGGTGCCACTTTATGCCTGACACTTCACGCATACAGTCTCTCTGTGATGGAGCCCCAGCTCACTAGCTGGGGGACTCGCCAGCTCCTCTGACTCTCTCGGACTCATTTTCCACTTATCAGATGAGAACAAGCAGTACCTGCCTCACGGAGTTCTTGAGAGGATTGAACAAGTTCATGTAAAGTACTGGCATGCCGCGAGGGAGCTCAGTACATAAATGTTTGCTCAATAGCTGAACCCTTCTTTTGTAGATGATGACAGACAGCTCAGAGAAGGGGAGTTACTTGACTAAGGTCACACAACTAGTGAGGGATCTGAATCTGTGCGCCTGGCTTTCAAGCATTACACGTTTCTGGGCAGACCAGGGCTGGGAGGTGGGGAAGGCAGGAATGATAGTGAGGACTGGGGAAGTGGGAAATGGGGTAGGAAATTTAGGTCTGCTATTTGGCTAGGTGAGAGCTTCAGGCAGGTTAGAGAAGGGGGTGGAGAGCAAATTGGAGTGTGTGTGTGTGTGTGTGTGTGTGTGCGCGCGCGCGAGCATATGTGTCACACACCTCAGGCAGGGCAGGAGAGAACTGGGGCCTGGCTGGGGCAGGCCACTCCAGAGCCTAGCTCATTAGAGCACATAATTACCTCCTGCGGAGAGAGCCTCACCCATCTCTGTGGGGAGCTGCCAAATGCTTTATTAAAGACAGTTCCCGGTGAACTTTAGAGGCGAACTCTCAGACCCTTGGACGGATGTCCATCTGTCCATTTCTGTGCTCCACCTTGCCCTGGGCACTTGGATCCTGCTCAGGTGTCCCCTCCAGCACCAAGCCACAGCTGACTCCTTCCTCCCACTGAGATCCCATCTTTTCCTTCCTCTGCTCCCCAGAACTTCTGGTCCGAGTCCCAGAGCCGCCCCCCGCCGTGGCTATCTGAAGCTGGGTCTGGGGCTTCAGGCCCTTGTGGGAAGGAACGGGAGTGTCCGCCCTGAGCTGGCGCAGGGAGTGGCTGCGTGGGAACGGGAGCAGGAAGGCGCTAGGGCCTGGGTTGGGGTTGGTCTGGAGAATGGGCCAGGAGGAGACTGATTAGTCAGAGGCATCCAGGTTACGATTGCAGGTTGTGTTCCGGCCCAGGGTGGTGAAAAGCAGAGGAATTAGACTCTGGGGCCAAGGAGAAGTTGGATTCGAGTCTGAATTAGGATTTTTTTTCTCTAATTCATCTCGTTTTCTCTTCAGGCCTTTTGGCCTCTTCTCCCTCCCCAGAAATGTCTAATATTGGGGATCCAGAGGAGAGCCTTGCAACCCTGGGTCTTGCCTTCTTAAGCAAGCCCCATGGCAATGCCCCCCTTTGCCTCACTTTCCCCCATCTTGGCAGGAGGCAGGCTGAGGGCTGGAGAGGCTTTGAAGTCGAAGATGAAAGCGTCAAGGGGATGGTTATGAACAATAACTCAAACATCAGCCCTAATAACCCCGGGGTAGATGTGGGTGGGGGCAGGCCACAGGGAGAAGGTGGCCAGGAAGGGAAGAGAGAAAAAACAACCCTGGGACATGCTCCCGATCGGACAGGAAAGGGCCCCTTTCAATGGCCCCCTCTGCCCCATGGGGGTGCGGCTGGAGAGGACAGCAAGAGGGACCTGGACCGGGAAACTGAGCCCAGAGCCACCACCTTAATTAACCCTGGGCCGGCAGGCTGGGCCTTCCCGGCTACACACTGACTCCACAGATCTCCACACGCAGAACCTGCAAACCTCAGCTCGGGCCCCGAGCCCAAAGAGGGCAAAGACGCACGGGCCCAGGGCCCAGGCTTTCCGCCCCTCTGCGGGGTGGGCCCAGGAGGGAGTTCACTACAGTGTCCTCCAGGGAGAGGGGCTGGGTCCCATTGATGGATGCAGGCATTCTTCCGGTGTGGGCTCTTGTCTGGTCTGAGCAGGTGCCGGAAGCCCTCGTTAGGAACGATTGATCAGGGAGAGTATGGCTCCCTCTGGCCTGTTCTGGCCAAACACGACGCTGCCCCCCGGGCTCACACCCAGGGTGGGGCCCGCTGCCAGGGTGGGGCCCAGGCACAGGGATTGCACAGGATGGAGGAATGTGGAGCCTGTGCTCTGGGGACCTGAGTCCAGGCTATGGTGGAGAAGGTCACTCTAGGGCAGTCTTCACAAACGGGTGGGACTCTCGTCCCTGCTGGGGACGCCCGTGGGAAGGAGGCAGGCAACCAATCGGCCATTCCCTCCTTCCCTCCTTCATTTAATAGCTTCAATGGAGGGCCAGGTGGAGATGGTCACGCATAAGTGGTGAGAGAGTGAGGAGATTCAGGAGCGGGAGGAAAGAGATGGAGGGAGATGCAAAGCAGGAAACGAAGACAGTTAGTGGGGAGTCTACAGGGGTCAAATGAAAGAAGGAAAGCAAGGAGCCAAGGACACATACAGCAGAGGGCTGAGGCCCGCCTGGGGCACCAGCAGGGAGCCAGGTGTCCCCGCGGCGGGCGGGCGGGGAGACCACAGGTGTCTGGACCTGGAGAGCAGGGCTCCCACCCAAGCAGGGCCCAGGACTGCCTTAGCCAGGGCGGAGGTCAGAGGTCAGAGGACAGAGCAGGCCTGCTCACTCTTGGGAGGCAGGGGCCTGGAGCCAGGGTATGAGGAGTCCGGCACTCAGCTAGCTAGCTCATCTGGCCCTCTCCCCTTCCCTCGGGGTTCCCTCCGATGTAGGTCATGGGGATGGGGTGGCTGTGGCTGAGGGCTGTCAGGGCCCTGCGGGAGCTCCCCTCCCCTACCCGCACCCTTCCGTTGCCCCTTCCTCCCCGGGGCTCCCCAGCCCCCCAGGCAGGTGGGGGTGGGGGCGGGGGGAGCGGGGAGAGGGAGCCGGGAAGGAAGGGCCCAGGCAGCCGGCGCAGGAGGGAGGGAGAGAGGGGGCAGGTCCTGGCGTGTCGGGGCAGGATGGCTGCGGAGGAGGCAGGATCTGAACCGCAGGGGCCCGGGATGGACAGCTTCCCACCCCGTCTTCTCCCTAGCCCCCCCGACCCCACCTCCCACCACTCGCACCTCGAAGGAAGCTACACCCACCGTCTTCTCCCCTCGCCTGCCCCCCACTTCCTCCTTTCCCCCTAACCCCGGGCCCGGGAGGAGGGGGGGGGGCAGAGCGGAGGGTGGGGGAGCCGGGTCAGAACCTTCCCTTCAACTCCCCCCGAGCGGGGCCCCCCGCCCCCAGCCTCCCGTGGCGGCTCATAGAATATTCATGAGCCTCATGAATACGCAATGTCTCATTATGGGGCGGGGGTCTCACCTAACTGTCCGCCCCTTTAGCATCCCCCAGAGGACTGGGAGCAGCAGCAGCTTCAGGAAGAGGGGGAGGGGGACCCCGGGGAGGGAGCCCGGGGGAGGGGGAGGGGGAGCCGGCGGCTGCCGGGCGGCCGCAGTCCCCGCGGTGCCCGGAGGTTGGGGGGGCGGGAGGGTGACCTGCTGAGAGGGGCCCGGGAGCCGGGAGCCGGGAGCCGCAGAGCCACTCACCGAGGATCATGCTGGGGACCCGGGCGCCCGCCAGCGGCCCGGGGTTCCGCGTCGCTCTGTCCCGGGGGCCGCTGTGGCCGGGCTGGGGGTGCGGGGGGCGGAGCCGGGGCGGAGCCGAGGCCGGGCGGGGCGGGGCGGGGCGGAGCCCGCAGCAGGTGAAGGCGGGAGGGAGGAGGGGGACCCGGGCGCCCGGGCCTCCAGGAGGGAGGGGGCGTCCTGGCGGCTCCCCTCTCCCGCCCGCCGTCTTCCCGGTCGCTGCCCCCGGGCCTCCGGGACTGGCGGTGTCCCCGCAGCCCGGGCTGGGGAACAGGCATCTGGAAGGCGGTGGGAGGATGAGGAAGCTGGGAGCGCAGATGCCAGAGTCCTTGGGAAGGGCTGGGTGTGAGGGCGGGAAGGTGTCACGGGGCTGCCCTGCGGTGGAGGAGGCTCGGTCCTCTGGGAGGCCTGGGCCCCGGGCTGGGTGGGTCACCTTGGTCCTCCAAAAGGATGGGCTGGGCGGCGGCGGCGGCGGCGGCGGGGGGCGGGGGGGCGCAGAGAATGGGTCCTCCTTATTCTCTCACCTCAGAGCAGGGGGTGCCTGGGGGCTGGGTCTCAGGTGAACTGCGGGGTTGAAGATGGTTGCCAAGTTGATCTGTGACTGGAATCCAAATGGCCGGGCCCTTAGGGAAGGTTCCAGTGAACAGGCGGAAATCAATGGATCCAAAACGGTGCACATGGAAGCTGGCCACTGAGATCATTAGGGAGCCAGAAGATCCAGATCTGAGGCCCAGCCTTGTGGGGATGACACGGGTTGAGGTGGGGACAGGAGTCTCTCTCTATCCAGGGCCTGGACTCCTCGGGGGCCCTCGCCACCAAGGTGAACTGGATGGAAGAGGGCTGGGGGAGGGGATTGGTGAGTTGGAGGGGAGGATGGAGGATCGGAGAGAATGTAAGGGCTGGGGACGGTGTCCAGGGAGGCCAGGCGGAGTATGGGACACCGGATGTACCCTAAAGACCAACAAAGGGGGTTGGCCGGAGGCAGGCACCTGGGACGCCACCAGAAGACTGGAGCCTGTGAGTCTGCGAGGCGTCTGGGGAAGATGCAGCTGCTGCAGCCTGGACCTGTCTGTACCTGCCCTGAGGAGGGTGGCGGGAGGCCTTCCCACAATGCCGAGCGGCCAGCATCAGGCCAACCCGGGACGGAGGGGAAGGAGGTGTGCCTGGGAATCAGAACAGTAAGATTTGGGGAGGGCGGCAGCAGGAAGGAACAGGCCGGTGGAAAGATGGTGGGACTGGAACCTTAGAAGACTCTAGCAAGGGAAGGAGAACGCGGGCCAGCATTCCTGGGTTCTGCAGGGAAGCTGGGACGAGGTGGCTAATTAAGTACAGGAAGTTCAAGTTCCTGTTTCTGAGCCTTAGCAGTCTCGTGCCCTCGCAGCGCCCATCTGGTTGGTTTGAAGGGAAGAGGTTTCTGCACCTGCCAAGATGCTCCGACTCAAGGGCATGAGAATACCGGGGCCGCCGATGCCCTGAGCTTGTTCTGGTCTGGAGGCCAGAGATCTTGGGGTGCTGTGGCCCTGCTGCTCCAGGCTGGCCTTGGCCTTGGGGGGAAATGGGGGGGGTGTCTCTGAGCCCATCAGAGGAACTCCTCTCGCTCTGGATCTGTCCTCCCTCTCTGGCGTTCAACCCTAGCACCACGGAGCTTGCTTCTCACCCCCTACAGCCACCCCTCCTTGTCCTTCCCACTCTTTCTCCTCACGGGTGGACCCCAGAACCAGGCATGGCTTTGCCTGGTCCACCTTCCCCCTGTCCTAGCGACTCCGAGTGAGGGAGGTCTCTGCAGGGGTGGGGATGGGGGGGGTGGCTTCGCTTACCAAGGGCAGGCAGCTGGTAAAGGGCGGGGTGACCTTGCAGGCAGCTGGGGGTGGGGTGGGGTGTAGTGTGTGGGGTGAATTCATTATTGATGAGCCCTGCACCCCGGGCTACTAATGAGCCCAGGCCGGCTGCTCTAATTGATGTCAAGAAACTTGAGACCCCCAGATCAGCTTCCCGCCTGCCAGCTGCCTCTCCCAGGCTCTTCCCCCTCCCCCTCCCTGCACCCCCAGCTGCTCCGTTCCCTTCCCAGGGCCTCCTTTCCACCTCTACCAGCAGACAAGGCCTGGGGCCTCCCAGTCCCCCCCTCTAGTCCCTCCAGACCACTCAAGTCTCAGCGGTGGGAGGCAGACGGAGCCGGAGGGGCCGGGAGATTGCGAAGGGGAAGCGGACCAGAGCCTGAGGATGACAGTCCAGGGACAGAGAGGCTGGTCTGGATTACATCCGCAGCGTTTCTGAGCCTAAGGGATTGCTTTCCTATCTGCGAGAGGCCTCGTCCTTCTCTGAGACTCCATGCTACAGGCACCGCACGGACACACCCATGACCCCAACCCACGACTCAAAGCCCATTTCCCCTCCTCGTTTCCCTCTCACAAGAGTGCAAGGCTCAGATCCCGCCCATGAGGTGTGGCTGATGCCACTCCCACCCCTCCCCTCCCCCAGGAGCGGGGAGACGGGGTTTCTTTCCTTGAGAATTCCCAGTGCCTTGCTGTGCCACAGCTGCTATTCTTGGAAATGCTGGGTGGCTCTACTTCATCAGGTCTCTTCTTCCCCAGGACTCCCTCTTCATTTATAGGCTCTGGGAAGAGGTTCCCGAGGTACAGAATGATCGAGAAGTCACAGATCGGAGTGAGGAGCAACCTTGGTCTTTCAGGAGAGAGATGATGAGGTGACGCTGGCATTGCTAGGCAGGAGCCCACGGTAGAAAGACCAATTCCTGGCCCTGGCCCGGTAGCTCTGTTGCTTGGGGCCTTGTCCCAGTACACCAAGGTTATGGGTTAGATTTCCGGTCAGGGCACACACAAGAAGCCAACGGAAGCATGAATTAGCGGAACAACAAATCGATGTTTCTCCCTCTCCCTTAACAAGAAGTCCTGGTGGTGCGGGCAGAGGGCGAGATGGACCTCATAGCCTCCCTTCCCCAAATTTCCATGAATTTGTATCTTTGCTGCCCTCTGGTGGCTTAAGTGGGATCTAGCACGACATGGACAATCCTATTAGTTTCTAGCACATCCCTCTCCTTTCTGTGCTGCATGTTAGCACAGGCCTTAAGGAGACAGAGGACCTTGCGGGGCTCCCTCCCTTTCACTTCTCTTCAAAGACCCGAACCTCATGGCGTGATGGCGGAGGAGGGTTTGCACCGTCAGACAAGGCTACGTCTGACTCTGCTCTGGCCCTCGCCGGGTGAGTCGGGCAAGTTACATAACCTCTCTGGACCTCAATTTCCTCTTGTGTAGATGGGGTTAATTGTACCTACTTCACAGGATTATTTACAGACGTTAAAGGGGTAACGTAGAATATTTAACACCCCTCCCCCCTCTACCCACCACTATACAATAAACAACAAAAAAACCAAAACAAAACCCTAGCTGATTTCTTCTGATTTAGTTTTGTGGCTTTTTTCTCTCAGCCCATTTCATGATTCTGATTCAGGGAAGCCCAAGTGAGTCTTCTGGACCATCTTCTCCCACCTTCAACCTGGACCTCCCCCTTTGCATTCTTCCCAACCAGCAAGGAGAAGGGGTTTCTTTCCTTCTCTCTTGGAGGTGTTAGGGACCAAGGCAGTGGGGCTGAGAGATGGGCAGGAGTCAAGTCTTCCTTCCATCATTCTTTCACCTAAGAGATGGGAACCCCAAAACAAGTTCCCCAGTTCCTGGGGGTTATAACCTGCCCCCAGGGGAAAGAAGCTATGAGAAACAGGCTTTTCCTACCCACCAAGCCGTCTGGTTCCAGGATGGGTTTGGAAAAAGTGTAAGAGAGATTCCAGCTCTGGTCAGTGGGGGTCCCGGGCCGGGTTTATTGCACTGCAACAGAGTTTAAATAAGTCCCGGGTGTCCCGAGCCGAGGGGAGGGGTGGGGAGGGGCGGGCAGAAAGAGGAAGGGCAGCGTCAGTGCAGCTGGCGGGCAGAACCCGAATCCTGCAGGCCCAAGAGGGTGGGTGCCCTTTCTCCGGAGGACTGGGAGGGCCTGCCTTTGGCCAGGCTGAGGTTCCAGATCTGTTGCCATCATGGCCCCTTCAGAGTCCTGGGCGATTCCCTGACTTTCCCGAGTCAGAGGTGGACTGGGCCTCCGGGCCCAGGGTGTCCGGTGCAGGTTCAAATGTTGTCCCGAATCTGCCTGGTTAGGTTATCAATGGCCGAGTCTGGGTCCCAGATCAACCCCAGGCCCCGGGATCAATCTGGCCCCATTAGAGTTCTGATCCTCCTTGGAGCTGGTTCTGGGCCAGCCTTGATCCTTGTCCTGGGATCTGTCCTGAGCTGGTCCTGGGCACCATCCACAGTTAGTGTTCCTAATTTGCCCACCGAGGTGGGGGCTGTCCAGAGCTGCCAGGTCACCCTGGCCAGGTTCCAGGTTCTCGGCCAGGGCTTCCTGTGGAACTCTGGCAAGGCTGAGGACAGAGCTTTGCAGGCCGGAGCTGGACAGGAAGTCCTGGTGGCAAGTCTGGCCCAGAGAACTGGGATGGCATTCCCCAGTTCTGGTTCCAAGTTGTTTTTCAGGAAACTCTCTCCAAAATGCAAAGGCTGCAGGGAGGCTGGGCCTCGGTCCCTGGATCGAAGTTCCCCCATCCGCGGGGAGGGCAAGTGTAAACGAGGGTCCTTCACAGTGCATGGGGGGTGGGGATCCTCAGCTCCCCACCTCCCGGCTCTGGCCCTTCAAGTATGTCTCTGGGCTGGGAGAGGAGCTGTCTCCCAGCCCTCAGCACCTTCAGGAAGCACCCGGCCCCCTCCCCGTCAGCAGCCTGAGGGTGGGGGGCGCTGAGCCTCCGGGATTGGAGTCTGGGGTCAGGCGTCAGGCATCTGAGGTGGCTGGAGGCTTGAGCTGAGCTTTTTCCATGGCGGTGCCGTAAGGGAGGGAGCGTTTGAAGAATCCGAGCTAATGATGGGGGAAGGAGGGAGAGTTTAGTCACGGCGGCTCCCATTTCTCCCCAGATCTTAAGCCAAGGGGGAATGAAGAGGACTCTCTGGTGTTCTAAACTCCCTTCTCTTGCACCAGTGGCCTAAATTCAGGCTGTCGTGCCTGCCTCTCCAGGAGGCCCAGTGGGCCAGGAGGGCTAGAGCGGGGGGTGCTAAGGTATAAAGGGACCTTTCATCAGTGCCATAAACGTGCCCCCAGGGGAGCCAGGAATAGCAGATAGGTTTAGGTTTAAATTTAAGTTCCAAGTCTGACTGCCTCGTATTGGCTGTCTCTGGAGGACTCTCAGGCCACCGCGAGGGTCTGGCCCTTTGGGGATAGCCGCCACGGGTCTTCGGAGGAAGTGACAGCAAAATGCCAAAGTTGCCCCCTGCGAGTAACACTGGTGTTGCAGGCAGAGGCGCCTCTTTCTAAGACAGGGGCTGGAGAAGGAAGGGAAGGATCCTACAGGCAGGGTCAGGACGGGAGGCCTGGGGCCAGCGCCCACATGGGGGCACATGGCTGGAGAACGGGTTTGGAGGCAGATGCTTGGGGTTGTGCTGGGCCGAGGGCAGAACCGGAAGGGAGGGCGGGGTGTGCCGGACCTTGTAGAGGACGTAGATGAGCAGACCGAGGAGCAGGAGGCCGAGGAGGATGGCGAGGATGATGATCCACAGCGGGACGCCTTGGCTGCCTTCTGCCTTGGTCCACTGCACGGCTGTGGCCACCTGGGGAGCAAGGCAGGAGGTCACTGGGAAGCCATTAGCCCTTCCCGCCTACACGGGGTTCCCACTTGCCAGTGGACCTAGACCCACCTCTCACCTCCCATCTAGGGCTAGCAGAATTCTGACCTTCAAAGTTTAAATTCTTAAAAAGTGTGTTACTGCCAAAACCGGTGTGGCTCAGTGGATAGAGCGTCGGCCTGTGGACTGAAGGGTCCCGGGTTCGATTCCGGTTAAGGGCATGTACCATGGTTGCGGGCACCTGCCCAGTAGGGGGTGTGCAGGAGGCAGCTGATCGATGTTTCTAGTTCTCTATCCCTCTCCCTGCCTCTCTGTAAAAAGTCAATAAAATATATATATATATATATATATATATATATATATATTTTTTTTTTTTTTTTTTTTTTTTTTAAAAAGTGCGTTACTGTCGCTGATGTCTGGGCCTTCACACTTGCTAGTTTCCTCTCTCCAGAGAACATTCCTTTCCGAGTCGTTAGCCTGGCAGTTCGGCCTCCGCTGGAACATCACTTCTTCCAGGAAGCCTTTCCTGACCCTGCAAGACTGTGCTCAGAGTCCCTATGACGTGTTCCCGAAAAGATCCTGGCACTCCGTGCCTGCCAGGCCGTGAGCTCCAGGAGCAAAGGTGCCCTGTCCACCTGGCTTATCGTTATATCCCTGGAACAGGACACAGTACATGCTCAATAAATACTGGTGACGATCAGAAGGCCACCCCCCATCGAGGTCGCAGTCCTAGTGCCGGGCCCAGCACCGAGCCCACCTTCCTCAGCCCCGCCCTCCGGCCCACGACCCACCAGAAGTTCCTTTCGGGGAAGCTGCCGGGGCAGGATCCGGTAGGGCATCCTCAGAGCTTCGTACACGGCCTCGCACTGCAGGCTGAAGGGCTGGTGCTCCCGCTGCGGGCGGAGGAGCGGCGCTGAGGGCAGTCCCCCCACCCCTGAGCCTGGGATACAGAGCACATGCGGCTCCCCATGGTCTGGCTCAGGTCTGACCGTGCTCTATTTTGGGCTCCTTCTCTCCTGAATCTGTGCCCCTTATGTGAGATAACGAACGTGTAATTGAATAGTCATAACTAAATAATACATAATTAGATGACTGAGTGTAAATAAGGATTTTTGAAAATCACTATTCATGTGGGTTAAGCACTCAGGACAATACCTGGCCCCTCGTGTGCACTTCGTAAACGGCTGCTCTTTGTCTCTCCACTAGAGACTCATCTCCCGTCTCTGTTTGTCTACGTTCTCTGCACAGGAATCACCCTCCAGCCCTACCTACCACCTTTGAATGGGCCAGGAAAGGGAAGCTGTCGCTCTGCTCAGCGTGGCCACTAGGTGGCGCCAGGGACACAGCTCTGTTTACACCAGGGCCGGAGGGGAGGGGAATGCGGAGGTGGGGGGGTGGGGGTGGGAGTGCCCTTCCCAAATACTGTAGCTAGGACTGGGGGGGAGGGAGGGTCAGTCCAGGCAGGCCCGAAGGTGGGGTCAGGGCGGAGGTACAGCTCCCTTACCTGCAGGAAGGTCTGGGCCCGGACTCGGAAATGCAGCTGCAGACTCCGGCTCTCCTGCCGGTGCAGCGACCCAAGCTCACAGCGCAGCCTGAAACACTCCGCCTCCGGACATTTCTGGGACGGAGGAGAAGCCTGAGCCTGGAATTCTGCCCTTTGGGAACTCAAGCAGGTGCCCAGACCTCATTCCCGGGGCGACTTACCAGGACCTGAGGCCCAGAGGCAGGGCTCTGGCCCGGAGCTTCGCGTCTTCGCAGCCTGTGGTTCGGGGAGCCCTCGGGATCCAGCTGGAAGAGGAAAGAGACGGTTAGCGGCCTCTTCTGCCTCATCACAGCATCTAGGCCAGCCTGCACCTGGGTCCAGAGCGCCTTCACTGGTTCTTTTATCCACTCCACTGGCCAACCCCGGGGGCAAGTCACCGAGCTCAGCTCAGTGTGCAACAGGGGCGTGAACGCGGTCCTTGGAGTTCACAGGGAAGAGGCGTGCAAATAAATGCTCAGGCCCCTGCCCCTGCCTCGGGGCCTTTGCACTGGCTCTTCCCTGCACGAATGCTCTTCCCCAAAGTCTTCAGCGGAAGTAGGTTCATCCTTATGTTCAGGCCTCCAGGTTTTTTCCCTGATGGGTCAGCCTCCAGTTCCCTTCCCACTCAGAGAGGCAGCGCTGCGCTTCTATCACGTTTCAATGCCGGTTAATCTCTCTCTTTAATTCTCACTGTTTAGTGCCCTCCACTACAATGTAAGCCCCACGGGAGGGGAGACCTTGTTAACGTCGTTCCGTGCGGTATTTCCTGAGCCTATAACAGGGTTCACTGAAGGCACCCCGTGAATTAAATGCTGTTAACGAGCACACATAAGGCCCCCCAGGAGCTGGTTCAGCTTCTGATCCAGGAGGACAGGGAGGCTGTCAGAGGGACAGAACTGGAAGGCTTCCCGGAGGAGGTGGCGTGGAGCTAGGTTCTCAGAGCGTGCCAGGGCTGAAATACGGGGGAGATTTCAGGCGGAATGACTGGTGCATAGCAGAGTCCTTTTTCTGCCCAGGGCCTCCCGTGTCTGCGGCCTCCGGACGCCCATCCCCAGGCCGAAGCCTGGCTTCAGGCACAGCCTCGTCCGGCTCTTCCAGGCCCCGTGCCCTTCCCAAACCTCTCCGCCTGGGCTCCCCACGCCGTCCCGTCCGCAGGCCTCACCTCCAGGTGCTCCGGGTTGGGGTGGTGGCTGGAGGTGCAGTTGCTGAGCCCCGTGAACCGGGTCATGTAGAGGAGCTGCTGGCCTTCCAGGCGCTGCGGGCAGCTGAGCTCCAGCACGCCCCGGCTGATGGAGCTGGGGCCCCAGTTGACGAGCTGCGGAGAGGAGAGCTCAGTCACCCTGAGACGGAAGGGAACAGCCCTGGCCCACTCACGCAGCCCCACACCTGCCGAGTCTCCGGTCTCCAGCGTTAGAGGGGAGCCCTACCCGGTGTGGCTCAGTGGATAGAGCGTCGGCCTGCGGACTGAAAGGTCCCAGGTTCGATTCTGGTCAAGGGCATGTACCTTGGTTGTGGGCACATCCCTAGTAGGTAAGGTGACCAGACGTCCTGATTTTTAACCATTTGTCCCGCGTCCCGCAGTGTTTTAAAAAAAGGTCCCGATTTTTGGAAAGGAAACTTTTTTTTAAAAAAATATATTTTATTGATTTTTTACAGAAAGGAAGGGAGAGAGATAGAGAGCTACAAACGTTGATGAGAGAGAAACATCGACCCGCTGCCTCTTGCACACCCCCTACCGGGGATGTGCCCGCAACCAAAGTACATGCCCTTGACCGGAATCGAACCCGGGACCCTTCAGTCCGCAGATCAACGCTCTACCGCTGAGCCAAACCGGTCTCGGCGTGGAAAGGAAACTTTTTAAAAACGCCATGGGACGCGGGACAAATTGTTAAAAATCTGGACTGTCCCTCCAAAAGAGGGACGTCTGGTCACCTTACCAGTAGGGGGTGTGCAGGAGGCAGCTGATCGATGTTTCTCTCTCATCGATGTTTCTAACTCTCTCCCTTCCTCTCTGTAAAAAATCAATAAAATATATTTTTAAAAAAAGAGCGAAAGAGGAAAGCAGTGGGCAGAGACAAAATCCTCTCCAACCAATACCCTTCGGGGTGGCTCCCAAATCCCTCCCCGTCACTCACCCGGCCTGTCCCTCCTGTCTCCCGGCTGACCCTGCCCAGGCCTTACCCAGCACTCCTGCTCCCTCCACGCACCTTCCCGCCCCTCATTCTGCTCCCCGCCACCGGTGCTCCCCCAGCTCCTCCTCCCCCATCAGGCCCTGGGGCCCCACCCTCCCGGTCCTGGCCTTCCCTGCCTCCGCCCCTCCTCACCTCATACACATGCTGGACAGCAGGGCCCAGGTCCCCCTCCTTCCGGGGCTGGTCCGGGGGGTGCCAGTCGCTCACTGGGAACAGCACTGCTTCGGGTTTGGAGACGCTGAGGAGGAAGGTGGCTTTTAGGGGACAGCGGGAGGGGCGCTCCGCGCAGACGTCCCACCAGCCTCCCGCTCCCAGCGAGCCCTCCCCGCGGGCACGGACCCGTTAAGGGAGACCTGGGCTTGGGCCTCCACCGACAGCCGGAAGGAGACCACTTCGCTCTGCGAGTTGTTGAGGTTCTTGCTGTGGGAAGGAGACACGGAGTCGGCGCTGGAGCCCAGCCAGAGAGGAGCCCGCTGGCACAGGCCCCGCCCCAGCACGGCTGCAGCCTGCACACACACACACACACACACACACACACCACACACCACACACACACACCACACCACACACACACACCACACATCACACACACCACACACACACGGCTGCAGCCTGCGCACACACACACACACACACCACACACACACACACACACACACACACACACCACACATCACACACACACCACACACCACACACACACCACATACATACACACACACACCACACACACCACACACCACACACACCACACACCACACACATCACACACCACACACACACACACACACCACACACACACACACCACACACACACACACATCACACACACACACACCACACATCACACACACACACCACACACACCACACACACACACACACACACACCACACACACACACACCACACACCACACACACACACACAGACACACAGACACACACACACACACACACACACACACGGCTGCAGCCTGCACACACACACCACACACACACACAGCACACATCACACACACACACACGGCTACAGCCTGCACACACACACACACCACATACACACACACACACCACACATCACACACACACACACCACACACACCACACATCACACACACACCACACATCACACACACACACACCACACACATCACACACACACACACACCACACATCACACACACACACACACCACACACACCACACACACCACACATCACACACACACCACACACATCACACACACACACACCACACATCACACACACACACACACCACACACACCACACACACACACACAGACACACAGACACACACACACACACACACACACACACACGGCTGCAGCCTGCACACACACACCACACACACACACACCACACATCACACACACACACACGGCTACAGCCTGCACACACACACACACCACATACACACACACACACCACACATCACACACCACACACACACACACACACACACACACCACACACACCACACACACACACCACACACACACACACCCCACACACACACACTCACACACACACACACACACACACACACCACACACACACACACAGACACACAGACACACACACACACACACACACACACACACACACGGCTGCAGCCTGCACACACACACCACACACACACACACCACACATCACACACACACACACGGCTACAGCCTGCACACACACACACACCACATACACACACACACACCACACATCACACACACACACACCACACACACCACACATCACACACACACCACACATCACACACACACACACCACACACATCACACACACACACACCACACATCACACACACACACACACCACACACACCACACACACCACACATCACACACCACACACACACACACACACACACACACACCACACACACACACACCCCACACACACACACTCACACACACACACACACACACACACCACACACACACACCACACACACACACACCCCACACACACACACTCACACACACACACACACACACCCGCCCCAGCACCCACCTGAGGATCTGGAAGTCAAACTGGATGGTCTTCTTCGTGTCCCGGAGGTGAGGCACTGTGAACCGAAGGCCACTCCAGAGCTGCGGGTCAGGCAGGAGGACAGGGAGGCTGTGAGGTGTCACCCCAACCCCAGCCCTCCCTCCCTGCCCCACGGCACTGCCCGCGCGGGCTGCCCCCCCCGGGCCCCCCGCCCGGCTTACACTGGCGCCTGCCTTCATGGGGTTGCCCAGGTCACACACCAGGAGGCGGCTCTGGTTCACGGCAAAGTAGTCACAGCTCAGGCTGGAGAAGTTCTGGGGGTGGGGCGGGGGCGCAGGTAAGTTCTGGAGGCGGGGTGGGTGCCCCCTGGCAGCCCCCCCCGCCCCCCGAGCGCCCCGGTTCGTACCCCGGGGTGCCTGACGAGTCCGGAGTACTCAGCCTCCGGGGGAGCCGTGACCCGGAGCTCCGCCTCGTAGGCGCCCCCCTCGCCCACGTTCTGGGCGTGGAACGTGAGGTTCAGCGCGTTCTTGTCACCCAGGTACACGTGGTTCTGCTCCCTGGAGGGCACAGGGGTGAGGGACACGGGACGTCACCTCCAAACCAGGACAAGAACGGAATGACAACAGACACCATTCACGGAGCTCCGACTCTACGGCAGGCGCGAGGCCAGCTGCTTTCTGTCCAGTGTTTTGTTTCACCTCTTCCAAAAGGCGAGGGAAGCAGGAGCTATCCTTCCCACGACACGACACGGACGAATCTGAGAGACTCCCCAAGGTCGCACAGCCAGCTAGCAGGTCCCTGCTTGCAGGGCCCTCCAGGGTCCCTGTGCCCCCCTTCCAGACCGTGGCATCTGGACCCCCCGCCCGAGGCTCGCCTTCGCTCACCCAAACACTTCCAGCTGCAGGTCTGGCACACAGATGTTGTCTTCTCCACAGTCCAGGAGGATCTGAGCCTGGGGCGCGGGAGGCCAGCGGAGAGGGGGCTCAGAGCCTCCCCGGGCTGTAGGCAGGCTCCCCCCGCAGGGCCCCTCTCCTCCTGGCTCCCCCGCCCTGGCCTCACCTTGTCCTCGATGCGGCTCTTGCTCTGGTAATGCAGGACTGGCCGGAGGCCGTGGCTGTCCACGGGCGCCTGGGGGTCCAGGGAGAAGTTGAGGGCGATGTGGATCGGGGAGAGTTTGTCCCGGAACTCCGACTCATTCTGGGGCAGGCGGAGAGGGTTCACAAAGTCAGGGGACCGTGCTCCCCACGCAGGGCCTTGGCGGATCCGGGGTCCAAACGTGGCCGTCCTCATCGCCCGAGTGGCCTGGCGGCCCGGCTCCCAGCTCTGGCAGCAGGGTCCCCCTCCTCAGCTCCGCCAAAGTCCGGAGCCTTTGCCTGGGGCCTCCCAGCCTCTCTCCCTGCGCGAGGGACCCCCGTTCTCCGTGGCCAGCCTCCCGGGCCCGCCACACCGCCTGGAGGCCGTACCCGGAGGTAGATCTTCATCTCGCTGCAGTCCTCCCGGGCCCCGTTCTGGATGAGCAGGGTCTGGGTGAGGGCCGCCTGCCCGGAGGCCAGGAACAGCGCGCGCCGCACCCCGCCCTTCTGCTTCTGCCAGTCCAGCTGGAGCTCCACGGTGAAGCCTGCAGCCGGGGGCGTGTGAGGAGTCTGCCTCTCCCTGCCCATCTATCCCGAGAGGAGGGCAGTGCCCACGCCCCAGCCCCTCCCGGTGCCTCCTTTACCGATGGTGTCAGGAACGTGCTTTCCAGAGGCGTTGAGGCAGAAGCTGAGGTTGATGCTGGAGGAAGACCGAGGGGAGAGCTGATGTCCCCACCGGACAGGGACCCCACGTCCTCTGCCTCTCTCCCAGACAGACCCAGGCTAGGACCCCCCCCCCACCGGGTCCCCCTGCTGCAGACCCGGCCTCCCCGCCTTCCTCCGAGGCACAGGCCGAGGCCACCCGGCCCGGCCCCTGCGACCTCCTGACCCCCAGCTCACCAGGCCACAGGGTTCCCCTCCAGGCTGCAGCTGCGCTCCTCCGGGTTGAACATGGCGGGGAAGATGGTGAGGGAGGCACTGGCGGACACGATGGGGCGGCCCCTGCCGGGAGTGGACGTGGGGACAACAGAACTGAGACCCTGGGGAACCCGGGCAAGAAGCTGATGCTCCAGCCCCAGGTCCCGGTCCTTTGTACACGTCCCCAGCCTCAGCCTTACGGAGGGACGCCCGTTCCCACTCCTCCCGGGCTGCCGCCCTGGAGTCCGTACCTGTACACCACCGCCTTGTCCACACCAAAGGACCCCACAATCAGATCTGCAAGAAGTAAGAAACTACCCGTTAGCCCTGACCAGTTTGGCTCAGTGGATAGAGCGTTGTCAGCCTGTGGACTGAAGGGTCCCAGGTTTGATTCCAGCCAAGGGCATGTGCCTTGGTTGCAGGCACATCCCCAGTAGGGGGTGTGCAGGAGGCGGCTGATTTATGTTTCTCTCTCATCCATGTTTCTAACTCTCTATCCCTCTCCCTTCCTCTGTAAAAAAAATCAATGAACTATGTTTAAAAATTAAAAAAAGAAAAAGAAACTACCCTTTACAGAAAGCCCCCCAATTAGGATCCTTCCTTCCCAACCCTTCTAGTTTCATGGATGGAGGAGGCCCAAGTGAGGGAACATCGCCACCTGGTGGCAGTATCCCAGAAGTGCACCCAAGGGCCTGAGGGAAGGGCAGAGCCGGGAACTGTAAGTGGAACAGGGCCTAAGGAAGCACACTCACCGGGGTATCCGTTGCCATCCAGGTCTCGGCCCCCTCGAAGGGCAGAGCCAAAGAAGTCTGGAGTGCGGCCAGCGGCCCAGAGGGGCAGCAGCACCTGGGAAGGCTTGGAGCCCAGCCCCACGGGGCTCCCGGGAAACACAAAGACCACGCCCTGCTGGGTCTCCCCGCCAAAGGGGGCCCCGATGGCCACATCTGCAAGACACACAGCACACACCAGTCAGCAGGCCCACATCCAGGAGTTCAGACCTTTACCACCAAACCCAGGACCCAGGACCCTATTCCCCCTCCCTCCCCGCCGCCCCCACCCCCCATATTCTCCTTTCTTCAAAGCCTCAAGACCTACACATCGTGGGAAGACGCGGGGGGTCTGGGGATCTCAGCCACTCTCTCCCTAAACCCCCTCCTGACTCTCGACTCCTCCTCGGCTCTTTGCACTTACCGTTGTAGCCATCTTGGTCCAGGTCCCCCAGGGGGGTCAAGGAGCTTCCAAACCGGCCAAACTCATCGCGGCCGGTGAGGGTGAGGGAGGGTGTGGGCTCCACGCCGGCCGGCTGCTGCAGGTAGATGTAGACCCTGCCCACCTCCTGGAGCCGCCCGTCGGCTGTCCGCTCCATGAGTAGCGGTGCTCCCACCAGCAGGTCATCCAGCCTGGGGGCAGGGAACCATCCAGGCCTCATCCTGACACCCTGCCTGGCTGCCTCCCCTCCCCGGTCCAGAGCCCGGAACTTCCAGCGTCCTGCACCCCAGGCTCCCTCCCGCCCCAGCGAGAAGCTCTGAGGCCTTCCGGTCTTAGTGCTCCGGCCCATGGTCGGCAGACGGTGGCTCTTGAGCCACAGGCGGCTCTTTGGCCCCTTGAGTGTGGCTCTTCCACACAATACCACGGCCTGGGCGAGTCTCTTTTGAAGAAGTGGCGTTAGAAGTTGTTTACGTTTGAAGCATGTGGCTCTCCAAAGAAATGTCTATCGTTGTGCTGTTAATATTTGGCTCTGGCCCAAGCCGGTTTGGCTCAGTGGTAGAGCGTCCGTCTGCGGACTGAAAGGTCCCGGGTTCGATTCCGGTCAAGGGCATGTACCTTGGTTGCGGGCACATCCCCAGTAGGGGGTGTGCAAGAGGCAGCTGGTGGATGTTTCTCTCTCATCAACGTTTCTAGCGCTCTCTCTCTCTCTCTCTCTCCCTTCCTCTCTGTAAAAAAATCAATAAAATATATTTAAAAAAAAATATTTGGCTCTGTTGACTAATGAGTTTGCCCACCACTGCCCTCGGCAAAGGGATGTGAGGACAGTGATAACTCAGGGGAGAAGCCTGGAGAAAAGTGCTCCTTGTGTTTTCCTGTCCCCATTCTTCCTTCCCGGGAGGGGCGTCATGGTGTGCCTCTTCCCACTACTCACCCGTCCCCGTTGATGTCCGTGGCAGCCACTGCATAGCCATAGTAGGAGGCCATCTGGGAGGACAGAAGAGCAGCTCTGGGTCAGAACTAGGGGCTCAATCACCAGAATCCACAGGGGCTCGGAGGGAGGGCAGAGACTCCAGGGAGAAGGGGGCTGAGCTCATTGGGTCAGAGCTGGGGCTTGGTGTGGGGCAGAGGGCCAAACTGGGCTGGGGTGGGGGTGTCCTCACCTGTTCCCCTGAGAAGTTGTAGAGGGATCGAATGTCTGAGCCATTGAGGATGGTGACCTAGGAACGAGGAGAGATGCGCATTGGACCTGGACTCCCAGCCCCAGGCTGGAGGGCAGATGTGTACAGACTACCCAAAGGCAGGCATTCCTTGGAGGCACAGACTACTTGTCCCCTAATCCCCTCCTTCGCGTTGCCCTCACATCCCTATTTCTATGCCAGTAGCTCAGTCCCTCAGCAACATTGTTCTCCCTATCACTTATCAACGACTGTCAGATGGATTATCTATCCGTCTATTGCCCATGTCTACCCACTAGAGTGGAAGATCAATGCAGGCAGGAGCTCGGTTTTGTTCTTTGCTTTCTCCCTGGAGCCTAAAGTCGTAGATAATCAGTCGTTACTGAATGACCACACTCATTCTTCCTCCTCCAGCTCTCCCAAACCACACCCGCATCTTCCCCACGTCCCCTCCGAGTGGCTGGTCCTGTCCGTCACCAAGTCTTCTGATTCCTTGCTCTCTTCCCCACTCTCTGCTGAGAGTCCTCTCACAGGGAGGCTGGAGAGCCTCCTGCCCGCCTCCCTGCCTCAGGCTCCCTTCCTCAGCCCCCTTTCCCCTGCAACAGAACCTAGGAGGGATGCCCTCCCACCCCCCTCACCCCCACCCGGCCAGCTTGAAAACCCACAGCAGTGTCCTGGCCGGTGGCTCAGTTGGTGGAGCATTGTCCCATACACCAAAAGGTAGTGGTTTGATCCCCAGTCCAGGCAACTAACTGATGCTTCTCTCTCTCTCTCCCCATTCCTTCCTCTCTCTTTAAAAATCAATAAACACATATCCTTGGGTAAAGATTTATTTCTTTTTTTTCTTTAATAAACCTTTATCATTCATATTATTACAAAAGTTCCTCATTTCCCCCCCCTCCACCGGTTCCTGCCCCACCCTCTGCCCTTTCCCCACCCCCCACTGTCCTCATCCACAGGTGCACAGTTTATGTCCAGTCTCTTCCGCCCCCCCCCTCCTCTTTTCCATTGGGCGAAGATTTAAAGACACACACACATAAACAAACAACCCACAGTGGTTCCCTGCAGTCACTATCCAAGCCTGGACTTCTCGAGGCTCTGGATAACTGGCCCCAGCCCGTCTGCTTCTGCTCAACCCTTCCTCCTCCTCCTCCTCCTCCTCAGCCCAGGAGCCTGCTACACAGGCCTGATTTCCCCCCTTCATTTCTCCCGCCTAGGATACTCTCTCGCCTCATCTCCGCTGACCCTTCACGAACCTTCTCCGATGCACCCCTGCCTGGGAAGGAGGCTATTCCTCTCCCTGACCTGATAACCGCGGTACCGGCTTCCTGAAACTGACCGGGTGCGAGAACGCCGACTTTGGAGTCAGACAGACCTGCTTTTAAATCTCTATCCGGCCGCTCTCTAACCGTGTGACCTTAAACAGCTCATGCTAACACCCTCCCCCAGCGGCTGGAATAGAAATCACGGGTGGACTGTGCCAGACACGCTGAGGGGCTCTGTACAGCAGCTGCCCCTTGGGTTGTAATTACATGTGTCTTATCCTGCATCGCTGATCAGAGGCACCTTAGATGAGGTGTGATGTCTTATTCGTCTTCTTATCTCTTACCTTGCTTTAGTAAATGTTAATTGAACAAACTCCTACGGCAGCCTTATCTGTAACCTTTTTAAAGCACTTGTCATGGTCTAATAATAACAGCTACCAGTTGTACACTGCTCAACAGTCCACTGAGCGCTTCCACAAGCATGACCTCATTTCATCCTTGCAAGAGCCCTGAAGTCAGAACTATTATTATCCCATTCTGCAGAGAAGAATGAGGCTCAGAGAGGGTAAGCAGGCTCAAGAATTTACAGAATGAAGTAGAATATGAATAAATAAAAATAACAGAAGGAGCCAAAACCGGTTTGGCTCAGTGGATAGCGAGTCGGCCTGTGGGCTGAAGGGTCCCAGGTTCGATTCCGGTCAAGGGCATGTACCTTGGTTGTGGGCACATCCACAACAGTAGGAGGTGTTCAGGAGGCAGCTGATGGATGTTTCTCTCTCATCGATGTTTCTAGCTCTCTATCCCTCTCCCTTCCTCTCTGTAAAAAATCAATAAGATAATATTAAAAAATAACAGAAGGATGCCTCTAGAGTAAGTGCCAGAACTTGAATACAGGTCTGACCCCAGAGCCCGTGTTCTGATTCACTTTCGGAATTCTCACAAACTGACCTGCGTGTTTTTTGTGTTGTTTTTTTAAAAAAAATTCAGCTGAGGATATTTCCCCATTAATTTTTAGAGGGTGGAAGGGAGGGGGGAACAGAGAGACTTCAATCTGAGACACATCGGTTGCTTGCCTCCTGCACGCTCCCAGAGCAGTGCCAGAATGGAACCCGGGACCCTTTAGTATGGGGCCCACACTCCATACACTGAGCAAACCATCTAGGTCAGTGGTCGGCAAACTGCGGCTCTTTGGCCCCTTGAGTGTGGCTCTTACCACGTGCAGGCGCGCACGTACGATGCGACTGAAACTTTGTGGCCCATGCTCAGAGGTCGGATTTCGGCTCTCAAAAGAAGTTTCCGTCGTTGTACTGTTGATACCTGGCTCTGTTGACTAATGAGTTTGCCGACCACTGAGCTAGGGCACATGTTTTTTGTGTTCAGCCGGTGGGAGGCCGGGGGGAGGGGGAAAGAAAGGAAGGGAGTGTCAGGCAGGGTCTTACATAACCGTAGGTGAGGTTTCCTTTTGGCACGCCAGCAACGAAGTCTGCAGAGAGAAGAGAAAGTTGTGGGCTAACGTGGGAAACAAGGAGTCCCCAAGAATGGTCAGTGTCCCAGCTCCACCCCCACCCCCCACCCCCACCCCCGCCCCCGCCCCGCCCCGCCCCCGCCCCCGCCCCCGCCCGGGGACACACTCACCTTCCGTGTCATCACCACTGAATTCACCCACAGCCACCGAGTAACCTGGGGACCAGGGGGATGGGTATTAGTATTCTTGCTTCGGGGACCCCTCTGCCCAGGCCCATCTCCGATCCGTCCCCCATCCCTGCAGGCCTTCACAGTCAGCGGGCACACAACAGGCATGGCAGCGGGGCTGGGGATGCCCCGTGCGAAGAGAGGAGGCGGGGAGTGTGAGGGCAGGACGGGGCGTCTGGGGTTACACACACACACACACACACACACACACACACACACACCCCGTTTCCTCCACCGGCTCACTCACCCAGGTAGCTGTCGTCGTAGGAGGAGCTGGCCTGGCGCGTCTGCAGCTGCCCCCGCACCAGGTTGATGAGGTACTCGGGGTAGTAGGACCCTGCAATCTGCTCCTGGGTGGCCGACAGGATCTGGCCTGGGCAGGGGACGAGGAAGAGAGGGAATGGAGGAGGACGGGCAGGGAGGAGAGGACTGGGGGTGGGTGTGCCTGGGTTAAGGTGACCAGACGTCCCGATTTTTAGCAATTAAAACGCCGTGGGACCCGGGACACATTGTTAGAAATCGGGACGGTCCCGCCAAAAGTGGGACATCTGGTCACCTTAGACTGGGTGGGATCTCAGAAGTCTGGCTCCAGGAAGGCCGGCTTGTACAGGGTGGCAGAGGAGGACACACGAGTCTCCACAAAGGGAGAGGAGGACCGGGACGGCCCACAGGAGGGGAGCTGGTGAGCTCAGGCTGGGGCAGGGGGGAAGGACAGGGCCTGGGCCAGGGCCTGGGCATCAGCACAGCAGGACTTACCTTGCCAGAAATAGCTCCCAGGTCCACCCAGCACCACACGCCCGGTCTGTGGGGGGGAAGGGGGAAGAGGAGGCGAGTTTACCTGTGGCCCCGATCCCCCCGGGCCACCCCTCACAGCCACGTCCCTCCCAGGTCACCCGCTCACTCACCTTGGTGAACTCAGCGCTGAAGCCGCCTTGGCAGTACCCCTGGCCGGCTGCCCAGCTGAAATCTGTGAGGGAGAAGGCGGTGGGAGGGAGGCCCATGCCCACGGGCCAAGCAGGAAAGGAGAGGGCTCGGGGAAGGAGGTGGGAGAGGACCCCGAGGAAGGTTCGGGTTTAGGGACTCGGACGGAGAGGGCGGACGAGGCGCAGGCCCCCCTGGCCTACCTGAGCGGCAGGGCGCGTACTCCAGCATCCGGGTGAAGTTGTCGGTGGAGAGGTAGCAGGTGCCCACGGGGTCGCTCAGCGGCTCCTTCTCGGTGCGCCAGCTGTACAGCGGGGCGCAGGCCTGGGAGGGCCCGGGAGGGGGGAGCCTTAGGTTTAGACCAAGGAAACCCTCTCGGCCCCCCAGGCCTGTGCTCCATTGTGCCCGCCCCCCCCCAGCCCCCCATCCCCCAGCCTGCGGGCCCCTCACCAGGATGGAGGAGCCGTGGGCTCGCACCGTGGCTCCGAACCACTGGAAGGACTTGTACTCCACGGGCTCCGCGCCCCCTGGGCTGGAGAGCGAGGACTCCAGCACCCGAGAGCCTTGGGGAAGGGAGAGAGGACATCAGGCTGGTCGTGGGCCACCGAGCCCAGCACAGCCCCTGCCCTCAGCCGGGGGCGCCCAAGCACTGCAAGCCTAAAGCCCAGGACATCCTGGGGGGGGGGGGGGGGCAGAGGGTCTACAGACTCTGCTCCGTGTGGCCTGCTTCTCCCTCCGCCATGCGCCCACCTGGGGTTCTGGGGCAGCCTGGTTCTAGCCCAGCTGGCCCAAGGATGCTTGAGGGAGATCAGGGCAGGAGGCAGTGGGGGAAGAAGTGGCTGCACTTCTCTGTCTGAACCAGGGCTGCGTCACTAAGCACCTTGTTCTCTTCTGGATCTCACATTTCTGGGCTGCTGCCCATGGACCCCTTCCCGCTTCCCCACACACTGCCTGTGCCCATGGGGCACAGACATGTACCTCACACAGGACTTCCTTTCTCATTCCTCCGACTCTTACCCGTCTTTCAGGTTAAAAAACCAAACAAAACACCCATCTGTTTCGTGATCTTACCCCCCACCCCCCACGGTCTCCACCTGTTTATGCACTAGCTCTGCTTTCTGTCCCCTCACCCCCCTCACCCCCCCTCGTCTCTGAAGCCAGATATAGCTCAGCAGGCACATCCTCACGCCACCATTCACTGGTTGTGTGACCTTGAGCACGTTACTTAACCTCTACTTCCTCAGCTCTGAAATGGGGATAATAATATCCCGTACAGTTGTTGAAAGGATTAAGTGCGTTAATATTTATAAAGTGCTGATAGCGCAGTGCTGGGCACAGAGCAAGTGCTCTGGAAGGGTTAGCTGTTGTTCCTGTTTATCTCTGGCCTCTGTCTGTCTCCCCCGCCCTCCCCCGCCCCCCATCCCTGCATCCACCCTGGGCCTGGAGCCCTCGGAGGGCCGTGGCTTGGACCCCGCAGCCCCAGCACAGCGCCTGGCGAGCACCATGCCTTAGTCAGGGCTCAGCTAAACGAACCAAACCGCCTGTGTGACTCTCCCAGTCTTTGTCTGTGTTACTGGCCTCCCTGAGTTGTGGGTGATTCAGGGGAAATGAGAGCCACATGTTTCTGAATCACGCCCGCCCTCCTCGGGCTGGGCTGGACTGGGAACGTGGGGCGAGTGCCACGGTGCCGCTGCGCGCTGCTTGCTGTTCGCTGCGCAGAGCGGGGCACCGCTGTCCGGGCAGGGAGGGCGTGTGGCCAGGGAGCTGGCTGGGCAGGCTCTCCCCTTCTCCCCGGGCCCCACCCCCAGTCCCTCCAGGCCTTCCCAGGGGGTTGGTTACCTTTGCTGTCAAACTCAATAGGGGTGCACCGTGCCAGGCTGGTGCCCCAGGGGCAGAGGTAGACAGCACCGCCCTGCAGCACGCCTGGCTGGCTGGTGTTCGCCTTGGGCGCTCCCACCAGCACGCTGACCCTGTGAGGGGGACGGAGAAGCGGTTCAGGGGGGCTTCTGGCCCTTCTTCAGTTTTGTGTTTTTTAAAAAAAATATATTTTATTGATTTTATACAGAGAGGAAGGGAGAGAGATAGAGAGTTAGAAACATCGATGAGAGAGAGTCATCGATCAGCTGCCTCTTGCACACCCCCTACTGGGGATGTGCCCGCAACCAAGGTACATACATGCCCTTGACCGGAATCGAACCGGGGACCCTTCAGTCCCCACGCCGACGCTCTATCCATTGAGCCAAACCGGTCCCGGCCCTTCTTCAGTTTTCCAGGGCAGGAAGGACCCAGGCTTCCGGGCCGGGGCTGGCTGGGGGGTGGATGCCCCCTGCGCTGTATTTATATCTCAGATGCCACGGATGCCGGAGGCAGGCCGGAGGCAGGCGGTCCCCATGTGCCGCTGTCACTAACACGGCCCCTCCCCTCCTCCTCCCATCACTCTCTTTCCTCCCCTACCTTCTTCCCCAGTCATTAGAGAGGAGGAGCCAGAGTCTGTCCTGGGAAGGGAGCGAGGGGCCAGAGGTTCTGGCCTCGGCGTCTCCATCCCTCTCCGGACCTGCCAGGGCTGGAGGTGCAGCCTCCGGAAGCCAGGTCCTCGCACCTCGCCCGTGCCCTCTTGTCCCAAGCCAAAGCCTTTCTCTGGGCGAGACCCAGGCATCCGGCTGCCCCGCTGTCCAGCCGCCCAGCCCTGGGGCGTGCAGGAGGAAAATGTGAGTCTTGGAAATCAGGCAGCAGAAGTGGAGAGGAGCTGGACGGTGGCGAAAACAGAGCGTTCCCCTGGGCGTGGGCCTGCCTTCTCCTCGGGCTCTGGTGTGGACCTCCCCGCGGGGGCTGGGGCCTATCTCAGCCCTGAGCCCTTCTCCGCACGCCGTCTCTGGGAGTCTGAGTTCGGAGCCTGCTGTACTGGAGTCTTAGTCCCAGACCCCGTCCCTCAGTCCCCCCCAAACCCCGAGGGGAGGGTTGCCTTTGCTGGGGGACCTAGGTACTGGGGCGGTCATTGTTAAGGTCCTGGATAACCTTCCCGTCTTTGGCTCTGTTTCTGCCATTTCTTGGTCCCTTGCCTCGGAGGCTTCTGCTCAGCAGCCAGTCTTCTTGGCGTCCTCCTCCAGGACCCTCCATGAGGACTGCATCTGACAACCGGGCTGGCCCCGGCCCCGCACCAGGGTCCCTGCGCGCCGTGGCCTCTGCTCCCCTCCCGTCCCCGCCTCTGCTCCTGCTTCTCCACCTCCGAGCCTCCGCCCCAGGACTGCTGGCTCTCTTGGTTTCCATGTTGGAGTTTTCTCTCTCTTGATCTCAGATCTTAGGCTTCTCCATCTCGGGTGATTCCCGTCCCCTTCCGGCCTCAGCATTCCCATACCCACTCCTTCCTGCTAGTGGGATACCTCCGTCAGCCCTTCTTCCCCGGAAGGAGCATCCATGTGGGGACTGTGTGAGAGGTCACAGGCGCCGGGTCTGCCTTCCCAGAGGGCCGGGTGGGGAAGGCGTGAAAGGGGTGGGGTCCCAGAGAAACAGGAGGTGGCAGCCACAGAGGAGACAGCTCCAAGGGACTGGGCGTGGGGAGCGAGCAGGCCAGAGGATGAGAATGGAGGGAGAGGCCAGGGTCCTGGGGAATGGGGGGGGGGGGAGGTGCTGAGAGTGAGAGAGTTCCTGGAGTGATGGGGGGCGGGGTGCCAGCCTTAGTTACTCTGGGGACAGGAAATGTTTACTGCCTGTGGCTTCCTGTCCGTTTCCAACCTCTCACTTCTCCGTTTGTCTCCCACCAGCTGGGCCCCACCCTCTGCACTCAGGCACCACGGGGGGCGGGCGATGGGCGGTGGCCTGGCCAGTGACCAGGCCCGCGAGGTAAGGTAGGTAGGTGGTGGGTGAGGTTGCATTGTCCTCGGGCTGGGCCAGCAGACAGGGGTACAACCCTCCCCTAGCTGGGGCAGCCCCAGGGAAGATGTGATACAGGAGGCAGTGGAAAGAGCACTGGGCCGGTTTAGGGGCTGAGCATCGACCTATGAGCCAGGAGGCCAGTTTGATTCCTGGTCAGGACACATGCCCGGTTACAGGCTCGATCCTGTGTGAGGTGTTCAGGAGGCAGGAGATCAGTGATTCTCTCTCATCATTGATGTTTCTCTCCCTCTCCCTCTCCCTTCTTCTCTGAAATTAAAAAAAAATTTTTTTTTTCCAAGAAAAGAGCACTGGCCCAGGATCAGCACTGATGAGGGGCAGGCACTAGCTCAGTGTGGCGTGGGCCATACTCGTCCCCTCTCTCTGGAGCAGAGGTTTGTCACAGTCTTGGGAGTTCTGATAGTCTATTTCCAGGAGGACACTAGGCTGTGGCTAAAGGACCTGGTTCTCCCAATTTTTTAAAAAAATATATATTTTTATTGATTTGAGAGAGGAAAGGACAGGGAGAGATGGAAACATCAATGATGAGAATCATTGATCGGCTGCCTCCTGCACGCCCCCACTGGGGATTGAGCCTGCAACCCGGGCATGTGCCCTTTGACCTGAATTGAACCTGGGACCCTTCAGTCCGCAGGCTGATGTTCTATCCATTGAGCCCAACCAGCGAGGGCCCACTCCCAATTTTTACCACACCCCCGCCCGGCTCTGGAGGAGGAGCTGAGCCTGAGTTCTCCTGGCATGGTTCCAGGAAGAAGCCTGGAGTGTGTCTGACAGGGTTGGGAGGTGAGAGAGAGACCTTACTTCCTCCGAGTCAGTCTACTAACTAGTGTCCCTGCCTATGACACCTGATGTCAGGATGGCACTTCACACAGCTTATCCTTATTTTCCCATTTATACTTCCTACTTCCTAGATCCTGGACCCGTTGGGCCCCCTTCGGGGTCCAAGAAGGTAACAATGGAAGGCCCTTGGGCTATTTTCTTTATCTTTTAAAAACCTCACCAAAGGACATTCTTCCCATTGCTTTTCAGAAAGAGTGGAAGTGAGGGAGGGGAAGAGGGCGACAGAGAAACCTTGATGTGAGAGAGACACATCGGGTTGGTTGCCTCTAGCTTGCGCCCCAAGCAGGGCCAAGGATCAAACCTGCAACCCAGGCACATGCTCTTGACCGGGAATCGAACCCCAGACCCTTCGGTGCGTGGGCCGGTGCTCGGTAACCACTGACCCACCCCGGCCAGGCTCTCTGGGTTATTTCCGCTTTTTCAGAAAGCCTGATGGGAACATGCATTTCCCTGATAAGGCAGCCCGGGCTAATTAAAGCCTCAAGCACCTTTGCTTTTGGCTGGAATTAAATCAACTCTTTAAAGAGCCTGACTATCTCACGTTGGTCACAGGCTCTGATTGGCAGCTCTCGATGTCTTTTTGTTCTCACTTCTAACTGATACAAATGAGAAGAAGGAATTCATGATTTCTTACTAAATGCAGTTGGGCATGCCCTAACCAGTTTGGCTCGGTGGACAGAGCGTCAGCCCGCGGACTGAAAGGTCCCAGGTTCCATCCCGGTCAAGGGCATGTGCCTTGGTTGCGGGCACATCCCCGATAGGAGGTGTGCAAGAGGCAGCTGGTCAGCGTTTCTCTCTCATCGATGTTTCTAACTCTCTTTCCCTCTCCCTTCCTCTCTGTAAAAAGACAATAAAATATATTTTTAAAAAATATAAAAAAAAATAAATGCAGTTGGGCAGTTAATCCCTTCTAAAATACAGAGTTCAAGGGAAGAACTAATTGCCATCGTTTACTTTGAAGCCTTAGAACCCCGGAACTCTAGGGAAGGCACGGCCGGCCGAGGGCACCCCTGGTGTGAGGGCTTCCTCGTAGGTGCCTCGGGGCTGCCTCGGAGTTAGGAGCTAGTTTGGTCGGACTTTCCTCATCTCTCTTTGGGGCAGCGGTTCCCAACCCTCCTACTGCCGGGCCCTTTAATACCCGCCCTTTAATGCCTCGGCCCTTTGATACCGCTCCTCATGTTGTGTGACCCCCAACCATGAAATTATTCTCGTTGCTACGTCATAACTGTAATTTTGCTACTGTTATGAATTGTAATGTAAATATCTGTGTTTTCCGATGGTCTTAGGAAAACCATCTAAACCTGTGGGTCACGATATATATATATATATATATATATATATTTAATATTTTATTGTGTGGGCTTTTTAAAAATATATTTTATTGATTTTTACAGAGAGGAAGGGAGAAGGATAGAGTTAGAAACACCGATGAGAGTCATTGATCAGCTGCCTCTTGCACACCCCCTACTGGGGATGTGCCCGCAACTAAGGTACATGCCGCCCTTGACTGGAATCGAACCCGGGACCTTTCAGTCCCCAAGCCGACACTCTATCCATTGAACCAAACCGGTTTTGCCTGGGTCACGATATTTACATTACAATTCATAACAGTAGCAAAATTCAGTTATGATGTAGGAACGAAAATAACTTTATGGTTGGGGTCACCACAACAGGAGGAGCTGTATTAAAGGGTCGCAGCATCGGGAAGGTTGGGAACCACTGCTTTAGGGCAACCTCTTTCCCCTTTTTATATAGCATGTCCTGGTAAGATTATCATTTGAGATTTTAAAAAAGGAAAGAAAAAAACTTCAATTAAAAATACCTGCTGACTGAGTCCCATGGGAAAACTCAGTCCCACAAAAGTGAAGTAACATGTCCAGGGTCACTCTGAATCCTTCTGCACGTAAGAACCCGAAGGCAGGAATCCCGATTCCTAGGCCAGGGTTCTGGCTTGCCCTGTGGCCAATTTATCTCCCCTTCTCTCCACTATCTCCCCGGCCAGGCTTCTGATTAACCAAGATCCTGTTCAATAGATGGTTACTGTTTGACTCTGTTGGCCTGACACGGTTGGGGGCGGGCAGAAGCAAGTGGGCCAGGACCCAGGCCCTGCCGGTCCCACAGCGGCCAGGCCCGGCCAGAGGACACATGGCTGTGTACTCTCTAAGAAAGTGCCTGGCTGGCCGGGCGGGAGGGCCGCCTCTGCCAACTAAGTCTCAGAAGGGAACAAAGAGCTGGACGAAGGCAAAGCACCTGTGTCCTAGGCCAAGTCACTTCCCTCGCCAAGCCTTGGATTCTCTACCCATAAAGTGATGGGTTGCTCTTGAATGGTCCCTAAAACAAATTCTAGTTCTAAACTTCTATAACTCCTGAAGTGTGTGTGTGTGTGTGTGTGTGTGTGTGTGTATATATATATATATATATATATATAAAAAATGGAGCAATAATGCCTCCTCTGCCTAATAAAATGGAGCAATAATGCCTCCTCTGCCTAATACAAAGATCTTGTAATGATCCAATGGAAAAACTGATATGAAAGTGCTAAGGAATGTGAGGGACTATTAGTACTAAAACTGCTACAAGCAAATATTAAAAGCAAATAAGAAATGGGAGAAAACTTGGAAATAGAGCTAGGTGGTATCTAGGGAGGAGAGAAGCAGAGACAGAAAAACAGCTACCTCATTCCAATCATGCCTGCCAGGTACTGATCACCCTCTGGGGGCCAGGCGCCTTTATCTATATCGTCTCATTTAGTCCTCAGAACGGCCTCAGCAGCCGGGTGTCTGATGGTCATAAGAACCCCAGACTCCAGGGCCTTAAGCACCAGGCCCCGGTCACACCCAGAGCAAGCGGTGGGGCTGGGTGCACACCCAGTGCTGCCCGACTGAAGGCTTGGCCCTTGCCTCCCAGGCAGACTCCCTGGTGCTCACCCGGCCCTCGGATGCTGTTTGATGCCCAGGGTGAGAGGATGCAGAGGGACCAGGAACACAGAGGCCTCCCTCTCCAGCCATGGCCCCAGGCGAGGGCTCTGCTGGTGGAGGAGGGGGTGGAGGAGGGGGTGGAGGAGATCAATGGGAGGTGCAATGTTCAGAATCCCCCTCTAAGAGGGTATTGTAAAGAGAAAGTGAGAGGGGGCGTGCAAGCCAGACACCTGGCTCTCTCGGGAGGAAAGATGGCGGGAAGGGGGAGGGGAGGGATGAGGATGCTCGGTCCTGTCTGAGGAGGGGGCTTTAGGGACTGGGGGATCGGGCCAGGGGCCACGCAGACTGGCCAGGAGGCAGGAGATCTTTTAAAAACCCCACCAAAGGGTATTCCCCCCATTGCTTTTCGTGAACCAGAAGTATGTGCAGGTCCAGATGTTGGAGAGGACTCTCTGAAAAGGGGGAGGACGCTCTTGTTAGGTGGGGGGCAGGGGAAGGGGAAGGTTACCCAGATAGGGGGCGGGTCCCCCCCTCTCCTTCCCTTCCTCTGCGCGCCTCCAGTAGGGCTGTGGTAGCGGCATTTCAGGGGGCCTTGGGGGAGGCCAGGTCTGGCAGAGGTTCCAGGCCAGGGTGATGCAATGGGGTTTGGGCAAGAGGCCAGGGGGGTGGGGTGGGGGCTGGGTGGGGACCTTGAATAGCCCAGAACCAGCAGCTAGGGCCTAACTATCTTTTTTCCATTTCTCACATCCTCTCTAGACAATAGAGAAACTTACCCCCCGCGGCCCGCACCCCCCTCCACAACTGAAACAGCTGGAGTAATCCTTTTCTCCAAAAATTAAAGAAAAGGAGTGGAGACCAGTTAACTGTATCAGGTGTAAAACCAGCTCCCCTACGGCAGAGGTCCTATCGAACCCCGGGTGTGATGGGGGGGAGAGAAAGAAGGGGGACGCGTGGGAGGCTCAGAGCCCAGAGAGGCAGGGTAGAGGGTCACTGTGGAGGACCAGGAATCCGGCATCTGGGAGCCCCTGGATGCTGCCGGAACAGCCACCTCCCCTCTCCCCAACCCCGGACATTTCAATGGAAACCCTGGTTCCAGCGTGGCCTCCGCTCCAACTTCGGTCTCCCCACTCCCTGGGCTCTCGAGGTCCGGCCTAAGGTCGCCCAGCTGAGCGGGGTGTGAGGGTCCTCCTGTGAGGCTCCCCCACCGCTGATGCCCCCCGAGTCTGCAGTCCTGGCCCCGCCAGCCCGCGCCTCCCCGGCTTCCGACCCCAGCCCCAGAATTCCGGTCTCCGTCCAGTTCCAGCCCACAGGCTACAGGAAACCAGCTTTTCTCTTCCTCCCGGAGCCGGGAAAGAGGGAAGCCGCCCGCCCCCCTCGGGCGCGCACACACACCCCTCCCGGCGGACACATCCGCGCCCCCGCCCCCGCCCCGGCGCCCCTCGCGCCCGGGTCCCCGCACCCTCCCCGAGGTCCGGGACCCCCCGGCAGAGCAGAGGCTGGGGGCGGAGGCGGAGTAGGAGCCCGAGGAGAAAGGGAAGAGCCGCCGTCCCCTCCCGGGTCCCTCCGGGTCTGAGTTGGGGGGAGGGGAGGACGGGGCTGGCCCCCGTGTAACCTCTGGGCCCTCCCAGCCTCCGGCTCCCCTCTCCCCGCACACAGCCCGTTCCGCTTCCACCGGCTTCCAACCCGCACAATGGCCCTCGGGGGCCTGGGGTCCCCCAGCGCCCCGAAAAGCCCTTCCCGGCCCCCGCGCCCCCTGTGCGCCCGCGCCCGCCGGGGTCCCGGCCGGAGACCCCCGCTCTCCGGCCCCGCGCCGCCTCCGCCTTGGCCCCGGGTCCCCCGCCCGGACTCCCCCGGCTCCAGCGTCGCGCCCGCTCCCCACCCCGCACCCCGCACACGCCTCCCCGCTCATCTCCACGCCGGGCCCCTCCACGCCAGCCCCTGTCTCCTCCCTAGTCCCGCGCAGGCCCCCAACTTCGGCGCGGGCCCCCGACTCCAGCCCCAGCGCCTCCAAACTCCGCCTCCCAGCGCAGCCCCGGCGCCTCCGGACTCAGCCGCGCCCCCGCTTCCAGGCGCCCCCCTGCACCCCCTCCGGCCCGCCGCCAGCCCTCCCCGCTCACCCGTCCGTCCCCGGCCGGTAGAACTCCACGGAGAAGCCGAAGAAGGAGCCGGGGGGCCCGGCGAGCACGGCCGGGGCCTCGGCGTCCAGGTTGAAGCCCCCGGCCCGGGGCGCGGGCGGCAGCAGCAGCAGCAGCGGCAGCAGCAGCGGCAGCGGCGCGGGTCGGTGCCGGGGGCCCCGGCGCGGCCGCCCGGCGAGGAGCGGGGACCCTGGCGCCCGGCTCCCCATCGCGCCCGCTCTCCCCTGTCCTGGGGCCACCGACCCGGAGCCGCTTCCTAAACCTCCCAGAGGCGAATGACTCAACGCGGGGAGGAGTTTGCCAAACTCCCGGCTGGGCCCTGCCCCCGCCCGCCGAGGGGGTGGGCGGGGGGGCATTCCTGGGTCCCTGGAAGGCCGAACCCGAGCCCCGCACCCCGAAGGGGCGTGAGGGGGGGGGGTGCACCTCTGCGCTCCCCTCTCCCAGCCCCAGCTGGAGGCCGGCGGCTTGGACTGGGTCAGACTGGGCGGGATTGGGCTCCGCGCCCTCCTCCCTCGGCGTCGCCCTCCTCCCTCCCCCCTCCTTTCCAGATGTACAACGTAAACGCTCGGAAAAGGACTCGGAAAAAGGGAGCCGAGAATTTCCTAATGAGGAAAAGAATCACCTCTGGAGGGCGGAGGGAGCCCGTGTGTGTGTGCGTGGGGGGTCGCCTCACTCCTTCAGAGAGGAGACTTTGGGGTCGAGAGAGACAGGAGACACCTCTGGCACCCGGCCAGCTGGGATTCCCCCTGCCTTTCCGGGGCCACCGGGTGCCTGGGCGCCTGCCAGCTGGGTTTGGGACTCGGGAGTCGAGGGACAGAGCGCTCCCGACCTGATGGAGGCCTCCGCAGGCTGCTCGAGTTCTGCTGCCCCTCATTCCAAGGAGTTCGGGGTCCCTCACCAGGAGGGATCCGCTCCCGGTCACAGCCTTCCTGGTTGTAGGGTGGGGAAACCTCGGTGGAGCTCCGTCCTAGAATCTGGCACTGGACCAAGAGCCTGGGAGTGACAGGGCGGGCGGTGGGATGGCCCCTCCGTGTCTTCTTGATAAGACCCACGTGACTCCAATAAACCAGGAGTGGGGACAGTGGGGGGTGTTACCTTGCAAAGGGGCCACCCCATTCTTCCCAGATCCCCTGGGGAAGTAGAGGAAGGAACTCTGCAGCAAGGGAAGGCGGCGACCCCCTGCCCACCCCTTCCTCCACCCCTGGCTCGGTGTAATGAGATCACCTTTCAGGATTCTAGTCTTTATCTCAGTCTGGGGGAGGGGGACCTAGGGGCCTAGATCCTCTCCTAACCTCTTCTCCTTTCCTGCCTGTCCCCTCCAGAACTTCTTTCCCTCCAGAACAATAATTCTCTGGATCAAGCCCTGCTCCCTCTGCTCCCCAGGCCTCTGCCCTCAGGGACTCAAAAGAAAAGGGCCCATAATCAGTGCTTTTTCTTTCTTTCGGGAAGGTCAGCCAGTTTTGTTCTGCTCCTCTACTTTCTGTCCCAGATCACCAGCTTTCCCCTATCTCCCCTCCCCCCTTTTTTAAAAGCCCGTCTCTAGAGCCAAGGAGAAGCCAGCCGGTTAGACTGTGGGATGGTGCTGGCCCTCAGCCCACGCTCACATCTGCAGGTCCCGATGTTTTCTGAGGTGAGGCCTCTGGGTCAGGATCCTCAGCACAGCCCCACCACAAAGATAACCTCTAGGCAGAAACTGCTCCAGCCAAGGGCGGAGAGCCCCTTTTGGGAAGAGAGGAGCTGAGGCCTGATTGCTGTGCAGTCCAGCAAAGCACACGCGTGTGAACCCGGTTCTCATCCTTTTCGGCCTCGGCACAGGCTCGTTAGCTTTTCCCAGGATTTAGGAGCTTGGGGCAGAGAGGGGAGGGGCACGAGGAGGGAGGTGTGTGACTCAGCCCCTCCCAGGAGCCTTGGTGGGGGACAGGGGACATAGCGTCCTACTCCAGCCCTCTTCCCAGCTCCACCGCCCCCCCCCCCAGCCTTGGCCAACTCAAACAGGCCCCCTCCCTGTCCATTCCTTGCTCCTGTTTACACGGGTAGCCCCTTAGTCATTCTCTGGCTGGCTTTTCCACTCTCTCCAACATCCCTCCTCTCTTGGCTCTCTCTGCCCTTATAAGTCCTCTCCCAGTTGCCCCAACACCTCTTGCCTTCCCTCTCACCAGGCCTCCTCCAGGCCAGGCCTGGTCTCGAGGGTTCCTCCTAGCTGGAGCTGCTTCGGCATTGCCCTCTGGGGCTGGAAGCTGGCCTGGGAAGGTCAGCCAGGAGGGCCCCTAGAGGTCACCAGGAGGAGGAAGTGGGTGTAGAACGCTTACGTGACTGGTCCAAGGTCACATGGCCAGCCAGTCCGTGGCGAGTCCGGAATGGAAGCGTTTGGACTCTAAGCCCAAGGCCTTCTCCTCTCAGCGCATGGCCCTCGAGAGGCTCCATCGTCTCTCAGTTTTTTTCTGTCTTGTGTATCTCTCCGCTTGTCTCTGACCCAGCCCGGGTGTCTCCCAAGTGTCTCTGCTTTCTTTCTAGAACATGGCCTCTCTGGTAACCTCTGTCTCTCCATCTCTCAGGAGGAATGATTTGCTGTGGTGACAGACTGTTATTAATCACGGTCCGCTTGACAGAGGAGCAGAAGGGGTGCAGGGCAAGGGCGGGACGCTCACCAGGCTCCTGCTGTCACCAGCCTGCCTGCCCAGAGGCTGGAGCTTCAGAACCAGAGAGTGAACTTCCATAGACATTTCCATAGAGGTGCACGTCCGAAAGCCAGGAGCCGTGCTGAGTTCCAACAGGGTGGGAGGATGAATAGTGCTATTTAGCATGTGCCACCTGCCTGGCTCTGGCCTGGACATGTAACCTGCCTTTATCTCGTTTAATCTTCCCAACTATCTAGCACTAAAAACGTTATGATCTTTGTTTCACCTGCGTCCCAGAGAATGAAGTGCCTAGCCGAGATCAACAGAAGTCAAGGGGCAGAGATGGACTCCAAGTTCATCTACTTCCCCAGGGGATCTGGGAAGAATGGGGTGGCCCCTTTGCAAGATAACACCCAGTGGCTTTCAAAGCCTGGTGCTTTTCCTGAGGCACTGCTAGGTGAGTCCCCTACACCAGGCTGGGTTCCTATAGGGGGTGGGGAGATTGTGGAGCAGAGGTTTTTAACCCAGGTCCCTCATTCCCCGTGTGGGGTGGAGGGAAGATTGGGTGCACAGTCCATTCATCCTCTGATACTGGATGGAAATGTGTGTGTGTGTATGTACGTGATTGCTTCTTTTAGATTCTCAAATGCCTGGAAATTCTGAAGCTGGATGTCTTGCTCTCAGGAATAGGCCTTGTTGAGCCTGTGAAAAGCCTGGCCGGGTGGCATTAGCTGAGTGAAATCTTCACAAAATTAAACTTCCCAACTGGGGTGTAGTCGCTGTACAAATAGGGTGTAGTAGGTGTGCTGAGATCTCGTCCATCCCCTCAGTCCCCGCAGCCGGCGAAGGCCCCGGGCGGGTGGCTTCTGGCCACGGCGACCTCTCTTGCTTATCCCAGAGCTCTGTACGCATCATACGTCCATATGAGATGACGCAGGAAAGACTGGGAAGAGTTGGCTGGACAAAGGGGCCAGAGGGGCTTGTTGGCTGGTGGCTCCTGGCTTTGGGCCTGGGGTCCCACTCCTGCCCTGTGGTGGGGTGATGAATGGGAAGAGGGAGGAGGGAGGGCTGCTAATGGAAGATTATAGAGCTGCAAGGGGATTCCTGGAAGGAGAACAAGAGCCCAGTTATCCCGGGAGTCTGGGTCCAGAGCCAGCTGAAGCTGGGGTAGTGCCGCGCGCGCGGGCGTGTGTGTGTGTGTGTGTGTGTGTGTGTGTGTGTGTGTGTGTGTGTGTGTGTCTAAGAGAGAGTAATTGGAAAGTACAGCAGTGGGTCATTTGAACCCTGGGGTTCTGTTGCTGCCCTGACTCAAGGTCTCAGTCTGGGGAAACTGATGGCTCCATCATATGTGAGTCACCAGCCAGAATTTAAACTTCCTGTCTGACCCCATGTCCCAGACCTAAAATAAACCCCAACTCCCTCCCCTTCCCACCCCCACTTTGCTCAGAGCGCAGGGGGGAAGGATGAAGGATGTTCGCCAGGGGGACGAGCTGCTTGGGCTCACTGGGTGCTCCGGGACCCTCCTCTCTCTCTAAGGACCAAACTGGGAGATTTTCCAGGCCGGGCTCAGCTAAGGAGGGACGGCAGGACAGGGATTAGGGGAAGGGCACTGACTGGAGAGGGACAGGGCTAAGGGGACACTGGGGTAAAAAACTATGAGACCCAGGGGTCCAAAGCAAGCAGATCAATGAGAAGGAATTTCCCCTACTCCAGCTAGTGCCTGCTCTTCCAGACCCTCTTCAGTTTTTCTAGTTTTCTTTCTTGGCAATAGAATTCGGCAATAGAATGTAACAGTCCCAGATAGGAAGTTAAAAAGGAAGTAGGATTCTCTGGGGCGTCCTAGCACTGACATCATTGGATTTGCGTGCGCTTCCCCCCCCCCCCCCCCCCCCGCCCCATTACTTTCTGTTCTTTTTCTCCGCTCGGCGGCCATGGACCTACCTTTGGGAGAGGAAAGGAGTGCCTGGAGCTCCTTGGCTCCAGGGCCTGGAAACCGGAGGAGAGATCTTCCGGGGTGGGCCGGAGCATCAGTTTCCTGGGATGGTCTTCACAGATGTAAGCACATCTGGAGCCCATCAGGGAGGGACCTGGAGCATCAGGATTCTCAATACACATCTGATCGAGCCTGGGAGGCTCTGAGGATGAGACAGGCATTCTCACTCACCCCCACGATGTGTCTGCCATTTCCAGTCCTCTCTGAGGAAGGATTACCAATCCCAGACAGGAAGTGAGGGCATTGGAAAGGTCCAGGAGGACGGCAAGAGGGCCAGGGATTGTGCCCAAATCCAGACGTACTTTTTCACCAGCTTCATCTCTTTCTGACTATAGAAGTGACAGCGTTTCTGATCGGGTAGGGACCAGGGTGTGTGTGTGTGTGTGTGTGTGTGTGTGTGTGTGTGTGTGTACAGCTTCAGTGTGCCATTTGCCCTTATCACAATGATATATTTGCTGTGGTTGGGGATGGGAACCAGCATGTCCCCCTTTGCTTTTCATGAAAAGGCCTAAGAGTTCTCTCGACCTCTGGCACTTCTCACCCTTCTACCCACAAACACACACACTCCTTCCTCAGCTGCAAATTCCTCCCTGTCCAT